CCGCTGCCGTAATGCATCGAGGGAGCTTTAGTCTTTCTGCACCTGCGACAACCTCGCTGGAGCTCTGCGCGTGTGGAGCATGAGGCGGCACGAGCCGTCTTGTGCACTGCTGCCTGCCTCCTGCGAACTAAAGTTAGGGCGGCGTCACGCACGTGCCGAGCGCGTGCGAGTAAAAAATTTTTTTGCCCAGTTCGTTTTAAAAGTGCGAGCATTTATTTCCGTAGCACCTTTCTCCCCGCCCCCGCGCACTCCGCCCCTCACCCCGAGCAAAATTATCGCCTTTAAAGGGGCACTGACACATCAAAATCATATTTTTTATTATTATCCGAAACGGTCGAAAACGATGCCGGGACATTACCCTCAAAATTTGAAATTTGGGAATTCAGTATTCGTGAAGTAAAAAAACAATTTCCAAATGCCGAATTCGAAGTTCCCGCGCGATCGGCGCCGGTGCCTTGACGTCAAAAATTGCGGAGACCTGAGAGTCCCCTTTCCTGTCACCACTCCCTGCTGTTGCCATGGCGACCCAAAGCGAGGAGGAAAGGAGCGAGCGCCGGCTAGCGCCGGCGTTGCGGCGGACCGGTTTTGAGCGGTGTCGCCTGTTTTCCGTTGGAGGATACAAATCCAGGAGACGGCACCACAACGAACTCCCGATTTTTGGTATTTCAAAAAGAAGGGCCGTAGTGCGTTCGCAATTGCGTTAAAAAACATGTTTTAGGATTGCCGTCATTAAATGTTATAAAGATGCCGCCTACAAAGCTTCTAAATTTCCTGATTTTTGACGTCACCGATCAAAAGAAGCGAGGAGGCGAGAGGCGGGAAAATCAAACGCCAAAAATAAAAAGGCGCGCGTGCGCGCGGAAAAATTTTTTTTCGCGATGCGGTTTTTTTTGCGTGTCTATGGCTGCAACTTGCATCGTTTTAGACAATAAAAATAAATACGACCTTTGGGGTGTCAGTGCCCCTTTAACATAAAAACTTTCAGCCTTTCCACTCTCGTGAAGAAGGAAGGCCAGCGGAGCTGTACAATGGAAAGTAATGGCCGGCAGCAAGTCGGTAAGCCAGAGTTGAAAGGCTGCCGCCATCTATGAGTGACGGCGGCAACCAGATACGTGGCTTGCCGCCGTCGCTAATAGATGGCGGTAAGTGTCCAGAGTTCTGTGCCTTCATTTCTTTGCGGGGGACACGATCCTGGAAAAACTAGCCAGCTCCGCTGTAAAAATCATTGTCATGCGCAGCAGGGCGAGAAGAGGATAAAAAAAAAATTCCCAGGTCACCTAAGCACTTCTTATCAGTTGTGAATGCGATAGCATGAATGTCGTTCTTCAACTCACTTCGTTCGTCTGCGGCGTAGCGGCGTGGACGGCCACGTTTCAGTACAGCCGAGGTACCGGCCGACGGTCAAGCGCGCGCTCTCGTGAGCCCACGCTGGGCTCGACTAACCTCCTCCGAGTTTGCCGGAGCGGGCTTTGTGGCCAGGCCAAGCGGCCAGGCTCGCACCGCCGCACCTCGCCAGGCCGCCGCGTGCGCTACGTCGCCATGGAGAGAGCTTCTCTGGTGGCGGATTTCGAAACCACGCCGCACAAGATCCAATGGGAGCCTCGTTCCTTGACGACGCGCGCCAGCCAATGGGAGCACAATCCCCATCTGGGATTTGGCTTCACTTGTCTCCTTTTGGAGAGGTGAACTTAGCTGTTTGCGTGGCTTATTGCGCGGCTTCAAAGCTGCGATGCTTCAGATCGTGGCTTCAATTCGCTCCTTTGGGACAGGGGAATTTAGTTGCCGATTGGCGCGGCTGATGACGTCGGTTCGCTCCATGAGACAGTTAATGCTTTCGCATTAATAAGAAGCAAGAACGAAATCCCATCCTCCAGAGTGATTCGAACCCATTACCCCGAGATGTTGAGCCCGATAAGCTCAATCATACAACGAAGGGGGGTTCGCTTCAAGCCACCGTTTTTCTCTCCTTATCGCGCTCATACGCGGGTCACGACACGAGACGCTCACAGGATGTGCCGTAGTCTTCTTCACAGTGCCTCGCTGGAGGAAGGACCGGAAAAATCGGCAGCGACACTTAAGACATCTTAGGTGTAGGAATGCGAAAGCAATCCTACTCGCAGCGCTTTCCTACAATCAGCCCGCCACGCCTTCCTTTCACACACGGCGCTCCGGCGGTGACATCACACTCCCCCACTGCGCAGGCGCGGCGAACCCCGCCCGCTTCACGACGGCTTCCGTGACGAAGCATTGCGCTCCTCCGCTTTTCTTTGTGTTCTATTTCTGAAGCGTGTCCGCTTCGACCTTAACGCACCCGCCGGCTTCCGTGACGAGGCATCTGCTTTGCTGTGCTTTTCTTTGTGTTTCATTGGGAATGAGAATTTATGTGCCGTTTTTCTGGCTACAGATGGTTACAGACAACGGCGGCTTCGCTTCGTATGACAATTAATGATTTCGCATTATTAAAGAGGATATTCGCGACCAGCGACCTATAGGGGGCGCCACCACGAAACAAACATGGCGGCTGGGAACAGGTCGCGTCGGCTCGGCCGGGCCGCCTGAACGGGTGGCGCATGCAATTTAGAAGATTCTCTTTTGTTTAATGCCCTATTCTGTAGGTATTTGAACTGCGGCGGTTGAGTGTAGCCGGTGCGTATAAACTTGCAGAGCATTCGTCTCCGGTAGCACGGAGACGAATGCGGACAAACTGAAGAGAGTCTTCATCGGAGATTCACGCAGAACCCCTCTGCATTGAACAGGACTTCGAATCCTGAACGGAGAGATTGAGTATTTTTTGTGGCCGGACAACCTGAGCAATGTAGACGTATATTGCTGCTGGCTTCGACGGGGGTATGGGAGCTTCTAACTTTGCGAGACGCGTTTTGACCTTTTGAAAACAGACAATTTCCCTCATTAATCGCATGCAGCGAGCAGGTTTTCCGGAATCAAGTAATTGCCCAACTCCTTCGGTCTGATCCAGAGGCTTTTTCGGCAAAAAACAGAAAAGATGAATAGCCAACGCACCGACCGGCGTGGATGGCTCAATCTTGAAGCTAATCGAACAAAACCAAACTCAAGAAAAGCAGCTATCAAACCTTCCCATTCACTCGACTGCAACATTGGTGTTCCCTCCAGTGAAGCACCTCGTCTGTCGTCCTCAGTCCGCTGTTCTACATCCTTGTAAAGAAACTACTTATCAGATACCAAGTAGTCGTCACTTCGAATGTGATTCGAGACAGAGAAGATATCGGAACGTTTTTCCGTGATTCCTCCCCATCCAAGAAATCGAAAGCACGCGACTGTGTGCTGTGGAGTAAGCGGGCTTTCAAACACGTGGTGGAAGGAAACAATCTACTGAGGCTTCACCACACTAAGGAACACTCAGGCAAACTTAAGAAATATTCGCACCTTCGTCGAATTACATTGTTCACCGCCACGCCGACAACACGTGTCCGCGAAAGCCGCCAGAGATGCGGAGAGGCGCAAAGCGACCTGCTCCGGCTGGTTCCCGGTTTTCCCGCTTGGTGCCGTCCGTTTTGCTGGAGTCGCAAATATCTGAACAGATCAGGTGACGGGCTGAGCACATATCTTACATACGTTGCGCGAAGAAAAGTAATCGATTATAATTAAAATTACTTTTGGTAAAGGAGTATTCAATGAGATTACTCGGTTACTTGAGAAGAAAAGTAATTGGCGGTTACTAGAAAAAGTAACCGACACTTTGCCGATTCCCTCAAATCTTCAAAACGACAGTTCTTTTTTTTTTTTTATTCACGATTAGACTAAAATAGCTGGATTAGAAACTACTTAATTTCTCACTTCACTCATTTTTTTTTTTTAGGCTATACTCATATCGGAAACTACTTGATCCGAAGATTCGAGGACGCGATTAGAAAGGGAGGGGGAAACAGTACCTGTTACAACTAATTTTAGTACTTCCAAAAAGTAACCAGAGTACGCTTGCCATTACTTCCTAAAATTTTATTAAATAATTACAAAATTACCTCAAAAAGTAATCGAGTTACAAGTAATTTGATTACTTGTAATGAGTACTGCGCAAGTGTGGCTGAGCATGACTCCTCTTTATTCAATGAAAGTGTACGGACATTTGCTGCTTTGTTCCCCGCTATGGTGTTTATGGAAATTTAACCGGAGGAATATGGTCTTCATCGGAAGTAAAGAAATGCTGTTGCATTGCTGTTGCATTTCAACGTAGCTTGCAGCGAAGCACCCCAGAAACACCAACCCCGTTTCTATCTACACTTCTTTTATTTAAATAAAGAGCGTCTTTACTCTGACTCGTGATACAAATTCATGACGCACAGCTACGTGTGCACAACAATGAAGCAGTCAGAAAATTGTTTGGCTTTCTTTCAGGAAGAGAACGATGCTGGTCTCTTCATCAGACTCTTAGCGGATAAGTTCGTAGTTTTTTGGTTTTTTTTTTTTATAAACGTGGGGCCATTTTTCCAGACGTAACGTATAGATCTCCAGACAAGAATAACCATCAAATACCAGAAAGAATAAAACATGAAGCATGTGTTATTCTTTCTAGCTTTTAACTTTACCTCCAACGCGCTCGACGCAAGTAAAGGATAACCAGTTGTTCAGTTAATGTTAAAGGGCATCTTGTCAGTCAGTGTGCGTCCCGCGCATCTCAGTTGTGTTATTGTGCAATGCGAACCTCTGTGCATTCACTAAAATTATATTTCAAGAAGTGAATAGAAAGTTCTATGCTTCGTGTCGACCATACGTTTGCGTGAATCTGTGTGTGTGTGTATAGATAATGGAAAGTCACTTACACCAATTTTATTTTGTTATTTTTTGCTGGAAATACGGAAGTAAAAATATCATTCAGCACACACGTATAACCTTTAAATTACATCCAATCGCCAGGATTCTGGTTAAAGCAAAAACAAAAATGCGAAAGGAACATTCGAATAGTATTTAAAAACACGTTGGCGTTGTTCCGTCGCAACTTTTTGGGTTCTCAGCAACAAATCATGAACGTCCTGGTTGTGTCCCTTTGCATCCAGATCTCTTTGGGCAGTAAGTAAAGTAGAATGAGGACGCAACTTCTTTTTTGAAACAATTCGCGCTTGTATTTCGGTCTTGGGTATTATCTTAAAACTTTCTGCTTTGTACTGATAACTTCATTTGACATCGAAATGTAGCAGTGTCTGGCCAAACCACATGATCTCTCAAGCGATGTGCAGGCCAATCTTAAACTGTCATGAACAATTTTCAGACTTCCTCCAGTCGAAAAAACGTCGTGCTATGTTTTGAGTAAATTTTCTTAGACTAGAAAACACTAGAGCTTTTGTTTTTGTTTTATTAATATTTTATTATACGAAAACATAACGGTAAGCTATACCCTCGCCAGAACAAGTAGTATTTCTCACGATGCAGTATTCATTATAAAACGAAAACTGAAAAGAAAACGACCGATTTATTTTGCTACCTAGGGTAGAAAAAAAAATACTTGTCAGCTTCTAGATGAAACATCAAGCTTAAGTTATGCTGTGTTACAATTAATACTCACCCGGGTGGAGAATAGGAATCAGTATTATTTTGATCGTTATTTAAATGGGACCAGTTTTACTCCAATGATTTAAATCAAAACTTTCCCTCAAAATATAATTCCGGAAATACTTTTCTATTGCCAGTTTTTATATTATTTGATGCTTTCTACGTGCGTTTGGTCGGATTTACATAAAAAAGCATCAAGCAAGAAACATTTATATGAGGATGAAGACGAGCAAAAGGAGGTCCCCTTCTCAGCAAATCGTAGTGTTGGCCTCGATTTCTACCCTTCACTTCGTTCAAAACACGTTGTCCTATCGCAAGAATATCAAAAAGCAAAATAAAGACACGAAAATTAGAAAAGTGATACCTTACTGCAATCAAGACCGAACGCTACAAATAAAGCAAATACAGGTTTTTACGAACTAAAAAAAATCAAGCTGCTTTTGTTCCGCTGGAATCAGATTAACATAAAGTTGTTAATTAATCTAAACTTTACATTTACAGTAATTTTTGTTTTGCATTGTTATGAGTGATCTGATTTATCAATCAATCTACCATGTTTAAAACGCACGTAGTGATAAGAAGTCCCTTTTTTTCTAGTAAAGGCCCGTTCACACTCTTGCGACTGCTTGCGACCTCTTAAACCTGGGTTCCTTAAAACTTCTTAAACCAGAGAACACACTGGCGCCATCTATTGGGAAGCAGTGTAAACGCGGCGGTCCGGCATATTTTTGTTTATTTCTCGCGCAATATCCTTTCTTTTTTGGCTCGAAAAACTTTTGTCAATGTTATAAACGAGCCTTTCTATGGGTATTACGCACATTTGACCTCGGAAATCCCGCAAAACCTTCGCTTTTGTGAAATGCAGTTCTAGGGTCACCGCATAGATGGCGCCACAATGTCAGTGTGTCCCCTCATTCTAGAAACATTTAAGAATTTGTAAGAGATCTCGTCTCTCTCAGTCGTACTCGGTCGCAAGAGTGTGAACGGGCCTTTACAGTGATATTGCCGCGCGCCAAGTAGGCAGCGCGGCCGTAGCCTAACGCTTATCGCGCGTGCCTCCCGCACGAATGGCCAGGGTTCGGTTCCTGGCCGCGGCTACGCATTTTTGTTTACACTGTAATGTGATGTTCTGGTGAATTCGAGAACCGTCTAGCTGATTCGAGGTTAGAATGTTCTCCGCGTCGAACCTTCTACATCGAATGCTCCAGAAGCCAACGCGTGTACAAAAGCGGCTCCGCCTGGCAAGCAGGAGTCAGTTTCGTCCCAGCGTTCGACTGTGCTGCTACGCCGACTTCGACGCCCGCGACGCTCTGTTATTATCTTTTGTACCCTTTTATTTATTTTTGGCACAAGTTCGCCACATTAAACCTTTATTTCTTCCTGTTTATTTCTTGTTTATTGGTCACCACCCGTGACAATATAACTAAAATAATCTGATTGAAATGAAATACGCAGCGTTTGGTAAAGTACATCTAAAAAGTACTTGAAGTAAGGTACAAGGTAAGTGAGAGGTTATCTACTTCAAGTAAAGTAGTAAGTACACCTGGCGCAATGTACGAGGCAAAGTCAAAAAGTAACCGCAATGTATTTTTTTTTTTATTATTTACGTGATAGCATATATATGAAAAGCCCTGGATCACTTTTCAACCTAGTCACTACCTCGCTCGACACATATGCGCCAACGCTTCATCAATGCATAGATGCCGCGGGAAAAAAAAATCTTGATTTCTACAATGCCATAATGTCAGATCTTGTTTTGATTATATTAGGCTTGGTGGCCATCGGCGCATAGAGAATTTTTGTTTTCTTAATTATCTTTTGATCCATGTGACGTTATGTTCTCAAACTTTCGCGTTCTATCGCCACCGCTGACGTCGCATTCTCACGGAGTTTGAGCTTTCTGCGGTGCATAGTTTATTTACCCGGACCGAAAAACACGGTTCCTCTCAAAGAGTATTGCTGGGTCAACACCGATACTAGCAGTGCTAGGTTAAATAAAACTAAAAAAAAAAAAAAACGCTTATGCTTGTTTATTTTGCGAAATTATTGTCAAACACCCAGAAACTGATCACTCGACTTGTCGACCCGGTTAATTGAGCCACGCATGATTTTGCCTTTCCTTTTTTCTTTTTTTTTTTTTTTGTTCGCGGGACGCTACTTTATACGACGAAATCAGCATTAACTCAGCAACAGCTTGTCAAGTGGGGAGTGACGACAAAAGAAATTAAACAAACGCTGGAGCCTCCATAATGGTAGAGCTTTCTTCTGATAAATACCGCGACAGACCCTGTAAATCACGTAGTCATCTGGGGCTTTTCAATATCGTTCGCGACTGTACGCCCTGTGTATAGACCAGGCAATCACCACGTAATTTCTCGGCATTCCAACCACTGAAAAAACAACTGCGCGGAAACGAAGTTGCCCAGGCAATGAAGTGGCAAGAGTCACAAACGTAATGCTAAAAGTGATGTCGTAAAACGGTCTTCCTCCTGTTTTCAAATCGTTTTTGAAACGTTGCAAAACCTTTATTGGATGTAAAAGACACTAACTACTTTGAAACAGGAAAAAAAGTGAAAGCCGTTTACAATTCCCTGTAACACCGAATTAGAGCGCAGCTCTTGAGGAGGAGGAGGGAAGGGTACTGGGGGGGTGAAGTGACCTGGGGGGGTCACGTGACCTTGGGGGGGTCACGTGACGATGCCGATGATGTCATCAGTGACGATGACGATGTGGACTCCGATGACGTCATCAGCGATGATGACGATGACGATGCGGATGTCGGTGACGTCATCAGGGACGTCACTGATGACGTCATCTGTGATGATGACGATGACGATGCGGATGCCCCCGAAGTCACGTGACACCCCCAGGTCACGTGACCACCCCCAGGGTCACGTGACCCCCCGCCGAGGTCACGTGACCTCCCCGATGATGTCATCGTCACTGATGACGTCACCGGCATCCGCATCGTCATCGTCATCATCACTGATGACGTCATCAGTGACGTCACTGATGACCTCACCGGCATCCGCATCGTCATCGTCATCATCACTGATGACGTCATCAGTGACGTCACTGATGACGTCACCGGCATCCGCATCGTCATCGTCATCATCACTGATGACGTCATCAGTGACGTCACTGATGACGTCATCATTGATGATGACGATGACGATGCGGATGCCGGTGACGTCATCAGTGACGATGACGTCATCGGGGAGGTCACGTGACCTCGGCGGGGGGTCACGTGACCCTGGGGGTGGTCACGTGACCTGGGGTGTCACGTGACCTCGGGGGGTCACGTGACTTCAGGGGGGTCACGTGACTTTGGGCGTGACCCTGGGGGAGAGGTCACGTGGCCTCTGGGGGTCACGTGACCTTGGGGGTCACGTGACCTTGGGATGTCCTTGGGGGCCACGTGACCTTGGGATGACCTTGGTTACGCCGACGCCGACGGCGACGCCGACGCCGCTCAAGCCGGGAAGTTCAATGCCTGTTGGGTTTTTTTAGAGCGCAGCTCTTAGGCGCCCGTTTCCTGCTTGAGCAGCGTCGCCCTCGCCGTCGCCGTCAGCGTAACTGCGCGTTGCATTATGGGAAATGGCGTCACACGTGACGTCACGTGTGGCGTCACGAGGGTCACGAGTGACCTAATGGTCACTCGTGATGGTCACGACGAAGGTCACGACCTTTACGAGGCCTTCGCGAGTGATTTCACGAAGGAGCAGAGAAGGAGGGGGAGGGGGGTGGGAGGAGGAAGGGAGGATGAGGGGAGAATGAGGAGAAGGGAGGAGGAGAAGGAAGGAGGAGGAGGAGATGGGACAAAGGAGCAGAAGCCTACCCTCCTCTCCGTACGCTCCCCTCCTGCTCCTCAAGAACTGCACTCTAATTCGGCATTTTAGGGAATTGCAAACATCTTTTATTTTAGAGCGCAGCTCTTAGGTGCCCGTTTGTGTCTTCAGCGGCGTCGGCGGAACCGTGAGGTCACGTGACTTCGGTGAGTCACGTGACCCCGTGAGGTCACATGACCCCGGTGACGTCACGTGAACCCATGAGGTCACATGACGCCGGTGACGTCGCGTGACCCCCGTGAGGTCACGTGACACCGGTGACGTCATGTGACCCCGCGAGGTCACGTGACCCCTGTGCGGTCACGTAACCCCCGTGAGGTCACGAAGGTCACACGACCTCACCGTTACGCCGACGGCGACGGCGACGCCGCTCGGAGGGGGAGTAGCAGGCAGGATGAGGACGTGAGGAGGGGTATACGCTCCCCTCAGTTTTCTTCCCTCCTCCTCCTCAGGAGCTGCGCTCTAATTTGGTGTTTCAGAGAGTTGCAACCGGCTTTCATTTTTGATTTTGAATTTTTAAAAGTTTGTGGTATTACTTTGTAACCAGCCTTTGTACTAAAGCAGGTATAGCACGCCAGAGAAACGCCTAACTTGACCCAACATTGAAAAATAGCTTGGGTCTAGCTTGGGCTTATAATACGGCCTTGCTCCAGGGAGGTATAGTCAGCGACAAAGTAATTTACATTGGCGTTTGTGCGACTTTTATCTGGCGCGCCGCATAATTTTCAAGGTACCAGACTCAATTAAGTGAGCCAAGGGTGTTCCGTATGAACCAAAGAACCAACGGTAAAGACTAAATCTGGGACTTGTTTGGCGATTTAGGCTCTAAGATGCCAGATATGACAGCCACACTACCAGCATTTCAGCCTAACCCTGTCACTTGTTTGGTCAATTAGGGCTGAGATACATAGACTCTGGCTAGAGAAGGTCAAGCTCGGCTGTTCCTTGGCTTTCTCGGGCTGTTTCAAAAAGCCGAAATTCCCAAATAAAAACCAAATATTCGCCTTCCCCCTTCCCCCCCCCCCCCAAAAAAAAAAAAAAGCGAACACTCCTAGTAGCAGGTAATCGCGAAGTGACCTCGTCTACATTTGCTATAGTGAACAGTTTTTTTTATTTCAGAAACCGTCGTGTATCCACGATTGCTAGAGCCAAGAGAAGATGGCGGACAATTCACCCTGCACGTGAGAGATAACCTTACTCTCAACTTAAAAAAAAGTTCGATATTTTCCCCGCACATATACCTCGCCGAACACGTTGAAGGGAAGGTAATCAACTCACTGGTACGTGTGCCAATTTGTTTGTTATAGAAACGTACGATACTTAGCAACAGCATATAGAGATTAGGCGCCCAAGCAGAAGTCTGCAGTGCTTTTACCTCTCTGAACAGGAGCCTCTTAAAACAGGATCAAATTGTATGTCTCAGATAATAGTGCGATATCAGTCGGCAACATTCATATTTTTATTGATAGTGCGATCAACAACCAGCGATGCTGAAGAACATTTAAAGCAGACTCAATTAATTTTAAAATGTATAGATTTCAACTGAGCTTGTATAGCTTGAACATAAAGGTAAAAACCTGAGAGTGGGGTCGGAAATACTTCAAACAGTAAGAAAACACGGAGTTGCTTCAGGGGTGATTCAATGGCATAAATAAAACTGGAGAGCAAAAAAAGAAAATAGCTGCAGCCATTAAAAAAAAGGGGGGATTTCTATTGGATTGTGGTGGTGGTATTGTCCCTCGTTTTCTCGCACTGCAAAACGTTACATAATAGTGTTGGTGTCTGTCTTTCTAAAATAAACGGAAGAATTGGCACAGTGCTATTCGATTTTGGCCACTATTTTAAGAGGTATTTAGAGACAGCCTTTAAGGGTTGCGGGGCACGCTTCGCTCACAAGAAAATTCCCCGACCTTAAGAAGCTTCCTATATTGTCGCTGCCAGCCTAAGAAACGCAGGGCGAAGCCAATCAGATGGCGGCACTAGCCGATGAGGACCCCAAAGAACCAATCACGAACCAAGAAACGTGAATTAACATAGTAAGTCACGCCCGCGTTTCTTCAGCTGTGGGTGATTATGAGTTCTGATAACCTGACTCGTTATTCAGACCACTATCAGCATGCGTTTGAATCACTGTTCTGATGAAGTATACTTTCTAATATCCTGTTCTGTTTGCAGTTTTCTTCTTGTTAATATGAGTGTTTTGAACAACCTATTTACTGGACAAGCTCTGCCGTGTAACCCATCTAATTTTCTTGTCTTAGTTCATGTATAAAAATCTACACATTTCTCGCCAATCATAAAGTAATCATATGGAATCGGCGAAAATTTTGAAAGGCTCATGGCGAAATTCGTTATATCTAACAAAAAAATAACGAAAAAAGATGCCTATACTGTGAATGTTCATACAGCAGAAGGTCTCGTTCAGAGCTCCGGAGAAGTAGTTTAGCCAGAACAGCACGGCTGCAAAGTTAGGGTCTTTAGAGTTCAACGGGCAAATATCATAATGCAGAAGCACACCGTACGGTTCTCCTCCACCTCGGAACAGGAAGGGAGGGAACTTGAACCCAGGAAAGATCCGACCCAACGGCAACAGCAGAAACCTCGTTCCCCATGCAAACTTTCTGAAAACTTACCCTTGTTACTCAAAATCACATTTATTTGTAACCTAGTCTTGTATATGCTAACGTGTCTTGTGGTTTCTCCGAGACAGGTAAATGGCACCGAGCTTGAAAGAAATCTCTACCACGATTCGGAACACGCTTCTTCGCTGCTGGTGGAGAGGAGAGGACGCGATGTTCAAGTGGTAATATATTTCCTCTAAGAGCTCATAAGATTACTCGCTAATGACCTGACTTGTCGGTAACTGAAGTTCTTGTACGAGCGTCGGGAGTAAAGGATACCCAAATCAAACGACAACAAAGGATTTCCCAAGGAGCAGCAGAATTCATCAGATCAAAACAATACCAAAGCGGAGCGCAAGTTCGTCTGCTCTTTGCACTAGGAGTGGCGATGATGTCAAAACCCCGAGCTCTTATTGGCTGATTGAAAAATCGGTGGGCAGACCTCAAGGCATTTAGCATAAAGGCCTACACACTGTCCTTTCAATCAAAGCCAATCAGAGCTCGACGTCGTTCTGACGTCACCGTACATCCTGTGCAAGAAGCAGACAACCTGCTCTCGGCATTGCTTACAAGTGACTACAGCGATTACTATATTTAGAAAGTCATTACTATTGCTGTGCGTACTGCGGACAGCTGAAACTGAGACAAATTCACCGAGCGAGCACTGTTCTTTGAGTGTAAATTTTGTTTTCGTCTTTGAATTTATGGTAGTAAAAAACCCGTAGAAGCCAAAGAAGAGCCAAAATTTACCTTTTTCGGACAGGAGCTGTGTATCCTGGTCCTAAAACGCCAAACAAGTGTCAGTGTTAGGCTTCACTGCGACGCAGTTCGGCTGTCATCCGACACTTCTGGGACTAAATCGGCAAGCAAGTGCCAGAGTTAGGCTTTACTTCCGGTTGTTCGGTTTTCACGTAGCAACTTTGGATATAAATTGCCGAACAAGTGGCAAATTTAGGCTTTAGTGTTGGTTCTTCGGATCATGGTGTGCTCAAGTCTGGCACTTTAAGACTAATGTGGCGAGCCAGAGAGAATTCATAGAAACACCAAAGAAAAGTGCCCCGACACTTATTAACGCCTTTGAGTAAAACCGTATAAGGCCACAGATAGGCCCCTAGGGTTGCCAAGCTTGTGACCAGTCGTTTCTCTGGTGTGCTCCCTGGATACAGCTATAAATATAGACCGATGCGCTGAAACCCTGTAGTGTACTTTGCTTGCGACTTCTTTATAGCAATAAATTATACTCCGCCAAAGTAACACTCCAACACCGATTTCCACAGCTCCGTTTAGTCCTTTTCCCAAACAAAGCTTTCGGCTCGCTTTAAATTAGAGCCACCTTTAGCTGCCCCTTTTGCTCCTCGTTGAAACGCAGCAATTAAAACACGTATGTTCATGGGGTAAGCACCGTGGTTTCCATACAAATGCAATAACTTGTCGGCATTCTTGATTAAGTGAAAGGAGCAGTATGGAAATCAATAAAGTGGGAATGCCGCTTATTCTTGCCACGTTCCTGTACCGTCGTACAACATCGCCTGCGTAGGCTTGACTACGATAAGCACTCTAATAGCATTGCTTTGGGTACATTTTGAGATAATGTCAGGGATATACATGACTGGCACATGATATCTTCACACCATGCTGGTGGTCAATCTTACTTGATCTTGTCAAGAAGAACAGGTTGTCACAATAGAAAAACCCAGAGACAAGAAGCTAACAAGGACAAGAACAACACCGTCTCAGAACCAGCACAGCAATGATTTAATTTGACCCACTCTCCCTTCTAGCTTCTCTTCACATATCACTAGCACAACTCCGTGTCATCGGCAGGATCCACATCTGAAGGTCTCAAACAAAAAGACACGTGCACGCCTGCAGTCTTAAGCATCCGGTGAACCATCAACACTAGACCCGCAAAAATGGCGGTGTCTCATCGTCCAAAACAAGCCTTAGCTCCCAAACAACGGTTTGGAATAATTTAGTGATAAACAAAACTAAAAAAGAAAATTAGAAGAAATCATCTAGCTGGACAAAGAAAATAGACTAGAGAAACAAGAACGTTCGTGTCTCCTCATCCAATGTCAAAGGGTGCCTCTTATTACAATTTCCGGGGCTCGTAATCCTAATTGTTTCCTTAATAGACCTCTTAAACAGATCTTTTTCTTTGCTAGCAACCGTCGTCTCAGCCCAGTCTGGGTAACAATTATTGCACTCATTGAGAGGGTTTACAATTTCAGAATTGACCAAAGTCAACCGCTCTTTTAACAAGTTCTGTTATGCGAAATGTACGCCGCAGAAAGTACGCCCACGGCGGCAAGGTCACCACAATGACAGCTGGGCCTCTAAACTCGTCAAACACAAAGTTGGGGCCGAAGTGGACGGAGCGCACCGATTGGCCTATCACGACGATGACTTTGCGTTTTTTTTTTCGCAGACGTCCAATCAGCGCGCTCCGTGAACTTTCGGCTCCAACTTTGTGTTTGACGAGTTTAGGGCCCCTGGTGTGACGTCAGTGAAAGCCACGTATTAGAAGTGGCATGAGCCGTAGCTTGCAGACATGTTGATAGCGCCTAAACGTATCAAACGCGAGTAATACTGTTTAGTGATGTCGTGGCATGTTATACAGTCGACAGGGTGAACTTTAGAATGAGGGGAAGAGGTAGGACCGCCCCCCCCCCCCCCCCCCCCCGACCTTCTTCGAACTCTCTTTGCCTTCCAGAGATGTTCTGCCATTTTTGAAGAGCAAGTGCCGCTCAAAACACTCACACAATTCACTGCTTTTTGACAAAGGCTGCTGAAACATATCAAAGGTCTCTGCTTTGGATTTGCCATGTTTGACGAAGAGATGTTCTTCGCTCTCGCTCCAGTTCGTGGTCTATTGTGAAATCCTCATTGTGTTCGTGCATGTTGTCACAAAAAATTGTTTAGTGCGGATCCAATAGTTCACAGAACGACGCCCTTTGGCCTAATGTCGCAGGAAGGCTCCTGCCATCAACTGCAGTGCGCTCATCACCGTGCTGCGTCGTAAATATGAACACCTTCTCAACGTATGTTGAGAAGGTGGTTGAGAACGTGTGTTGAGAAAGACAACAACGTGCGTCATGTGCTCGCTGTGCCTAACGGGAAATTGGGCCGCATAACTCTGTCCACTGCGAAAGCCGTCGACGTTGATTTTGGCAAGTTTGTTGGTCTCATTTTTTTACAGAGAAATAACTTCGCCTTGAAATTTCACATGGTAAACCTGGCCTACTCAATGCATATCCGGTGAAAGATTAAGTTTTCTATGCGTAAGCGCCTATGTTTCCAGCTCATATTGCTCTGTCGGATCCGCTGGAACCTCCTATATTTCAATAATGATCAACCGCCATTGTCAAAAATTAACCTCCAGCTACATTATTTTTTTTTATATATAATCACTTACACTGGTCTGTCTCTTTCCTTTTCTCCAGAGAGGAATACTAACGAGAGACCTGCGGATTGAACCGTTGCTTGCCGAGAAACGTTCGAAACATGGCGATATCGCCCACATGGTATACCAAGTCGACATGAAACTTCCGGACGACTACTCCGGTTTGTATACTGAACACGGTGTGCTGCCACATTAGAGACCATCGTTGTTCGTGGGCACAAGATATGAAGAGAGATGATAATACACCGCAATACTGGTATATTCAAGATGTTCCAAAACGATGTGACAAAAACCAAATTTTGCGGTCGTCCCAATATTCGCGCGAGCACATTCTAGTGGATGGATGGCCACCGACAGCTTAGGAAATCCAGGGCGTGGCCTATCACGCGTCCTGCTTCGTGATTGGGTCGAGTCGCCCTTATCGGCTCAATCCAGCAATCTTATTGGCTGCGATAATAATATGCGCGAAGCTCGCCACGCTCCGCGTTTCCCGAGCTGTCCGCGTGACTATGCGGGCAGAAGTGTTGTACACGTTCCTCAAAAAAAGGAACGAAAGCTCGTTCCTCGTTGCTTCTGATTTTTGGAACGCGTTCCCGTTACAAGTTACATCTGTGAAAATGGAACTCGTTCCCGTTACAGTTTAAGAAATGGAACGTATCGTTACATATGCGTTACATTTGTATTTTGCTAATTACTATATTTAGTTTAATCAAGCAGAGTTGCTTTTTTTATCTATCCCATTAGTAGTGAACATACGAGTTTGTATGTCGTTACGGAAGGGCAACAGGAGAAGAAATCAAGCGGAAGCAGGGTTTCATTTGTGTATATATTCAAGTTAAAAATCTCAGCTTTCAACCATATTCATGTTTGTAGTGGACAATTCAGACGAGCCGAATGTACCTTTACCCAACATTGCACGAGCGTTTTACGGAAACCTCACACGTTTCAATTGAGCGAAGTCCCTTGTTTGAACTTAACAACAGTTGCTTCTCGATGTTGCTGTCCGCATGACGAGCAAGTCGAGGAGAGGGTAGGGCTTTTGGGAGGTTAGTCATAAAAAGTACAAATACTTTTTTGTAAGGTTCGCTTTGTTGATCATTTTGAAGGTGGGGGGGGGGGGGGGGGGGGGGAGGACAAGAGAAGAAATAATGGTTATTTTTTTGTGTGTATCTTTTAAGTGACAATGTTCGGGATACAAGGGTGCGTTCGATGTCTGGCAGTCTGTGATCTTGTTGTAACTGTAGGTCTCGTTATGGAAGTTCAGAAGTGGCTGTAGTCGGCCTTAGATTTCTGGGAGGATTCGTGGAACTAAAGAAAGTAGCTGAGCTTGAAATAGCCCTCTTTCTTTGTCTTTTCCTACGACTAAAAGCCTTGCTTTTTGTACCGCGGTTTCGGACACTCAAAAGCGGATAAATGTCCACCAGCTCTCCCGCACCCGAAACTGTTAGCAAGCGAGGACCACACAAAATAATCCACAAGATTAGTAGCCGAAAAAGTAACGATATCCCGCACTTAGTAAAGATATGGTTTTTGTATTTTCAAAATTACCCTGTTCGATGCAAAATAATAATTACCCCACTGGACGAAAAAAAGGAACGCCTTTAGTCTTTCCGTTCCAGTAAAAATGTAACGCGTTCCCGTTCCAGTTCCAGCGATGCAAAATGGAACGGCGGCGTTCCTTCGTTCCTCCTAAAAGGAACGCGTTCCAGGAACGCCGTTCCTTGGAACGCCGTTCCGTACAACACTGGCAGAAAGTAATGGAGAGGAGGATGCCAGAGCGTGCGGGAACTTCAGAACACCGAGCTCTGACTGGAGTGATGAACGGGTAGACGTAAAGCTAGCTTCCTGCGTCTCTACTGTGTCTTCGAAGTTCTAACCACTGATCCCCATTGTATTAGACTAGATCGCGGATTGAGGCTTGTCGTGCTGGGTGTCGAGTGGCACCACCTGGCGGCCATCACTTGACACCAGCTAATGCATGGAAAAAACGAGAAAAAGTGACATTTACCCCGTTTCTAAGCTGTTGTCGGCACTGAAACTTTTTGGCTGCTTTTCGAGAAGCCTGCCAAATAGCTCGTGCATAAACATTAAAAGTGACAGCCCTCAGGACTCTTATGGATAGATGTTTTGTGGTCGAGAGTGACTCTGCTGGGTGAAAAATGTAATGCAGCTCAATGCGACGAAAGTTACCTAAAGTTACCGCGGAGATGGCGGCGGTTTCGATGAGGTGAGTCTAGCAAGCAACAAGCTTGAAAGCTTTGCTACGCGGAATTCGCTCACTCACAAAAAGCCGCTGTCGCGCATGGAACTTTTTCCGACATTCATCAACTTCTGGGCTTCCCCGAGGACGGTCTTATTGGCGCCAGGTTCCTTTGTTTACTCTACGACGACAGCAAGCTTTCCAGCTCAATCGTGGGAGCTCTGGCACGACTGAGTTTTGCAATGCGCGTTCGAACGCCTGACAGGTACTATTGTGATATAAAAACACCCAATATAATGATCACAAAACATCATAAAATATTCGCATTCGAGTACCGCGTACAAGCTTCAACATTTCTACTTCTGTGTGTGTTTCTCACAAAGACTTGCGTGTATTGCCCGGTGTCAAGCAATGTCCGCGGGAGTGCCACCGTCCGCGATCACTACGTAAAGGTCCGCGGCGAAGAACCACCTGGTTCAGAAGAAACGCAGTAATGTCGGGTGCTGTGGCGTTGGGAAGGGGCCGCTTTTTTCGACGTAACGTGTTAGATGGCTGATAGCCACAACTATCGTTGTTTTGGGAAGTGGAGGCCGGGAGGGGTCCGAAGAGCTCAACTCCCACAACGTCGAATGGTAAATGCTACGGGTTGGAGTATTCCCGGAGAAAACGACGTGGGACGCTCTCGACGCTGGCACCGGTGGAAACTCCTGACGTACTTGAATATAATCCTATACATTCTGGGCCAAAATTACCGATGTCAAACTCTTGTGTAGGTTCTTAGAAATCAGAGATGGTCGGCAGTGGGGTCATCTGTAATATTTGTTGTTGTAGATGTTCAGGGATGACAAGAAGTCAACGCCTACCCTGTTGATAATAGTTTCGACTAAAGAACATCCCGTCAATAATAAAAAATCTGTTGGATTTTATTAGTTAAGCGTTTATTTTTGGACGGATTGGTACCATTCAAATGAGAGATTATCAGATGTATCCACGGATCTGTACGCTGGTCGGAAGGCAAAGCCCCGCGGGAAAATGGAGCGATTGAGGCTGCCTTGTTTGTCAGGCGAAACTGTACTAGTGACAATGGGAAGTGGACATCCAGTAAATGGATCATCGTCTTGACGCTTTGGGCCACTTTTATAGACGATATGAAAATTATACTTCTGAAGTTTTAGGGCCCATCACCCAAGGCGTTTTTAAGAGATGCAAGCCAGTACAAAGAGCGGGAATCGGTGACCTCTTCGAAGTGTTTTCTATAGAGGTATGGTCAGAATTCGCCTATAACCCAGACTACGGCAAGAGCTTCGCGCTCTGTGGTCGAAAAGTTTCGCTCAGGTTTGGTCAAAGACCGGCTTGCATACGAGATAACATGTTCGCCTGAGCAATCTTTTGATCTTTGTAATAACACAGCGCCAAGGTCAAAGCTGCTTGCATCAATACAAATAATTTTGGTAGCAGAAGGGTCAAAGTGGCGTAAAATTGGCGGAGCTCTCAGAACTAACCGCAAGAAGGTAAATGCATGCCGACAATCATTGGATTATTGAAACAACGTGTCTTTTTGTATTAACTGATGGAAAGGGCGGGCGATTTCGGCGAACTAACAGAACATATCGACAGAAGTATGAGAAAAGGCAGATAAAACCTTGACGTTGCTTAATGTTTTGGGGGTTTTGGGAATTCGGTCACTGCTCGAATTTTGTCACGATCGGGAATGATGCCTATCGCATTTACAATATGACCAAGAACCTTTACCTCCTCAGCTACAAATAGACAATATTATTAAACCCAGGAAGAGACTCTACGCTGAAACGATTTGAGCATGACGTTTTTTGCGCTTGCTGCATGCTCAGTGTCACGACGCCGACCTTATTTTAAGTCCTAAATATATTTTCGACACGTGTGCCGGAACTTTAACGCTCTATCTTTTTACATTGTACTTATCCAAGTATTTTTTGCAAGCCATGACCAAATCAGGTTACAGTTTTAATTGCCCTCCTTGCTGTTTATAGATAATTTCGTAATGCACGATGACAAGGACAAGGCAAGTTAAGGATCGAAATGTCACGGTTGACCTCGGCGATATCATGTCCATTTGGCCTCGGCGATATCATGTTCATCTAGCCCTGTCTCCTGGCACATGAATAGTCGAGACAGAGAGAAACCGCCCGGTTGACAGTTCGAGATAGCTCTTGCGATAGATATGTTGCATCCGTTCCAGGATTGATTACGAATGCTTGTGAATCTACATTCGAAGTGCTTACCAGATTGGTAATTGTTGACCATGATAGTTTAAGCCCCAAAATTCAGATGTGGTCTTATAATTTGCCATTTTTCCGGCTCATATAACCTGCTTTTGAGCGTCGAATAATATATATCTTATTCTCGTCTTAAGGATATTGTAACACTATTTTGATGTAAGCTAAAGACGTACGAAGCTTCCCGTCGAAGATTGCTATACACAAATGTGCTGTACTAAATTATAATTATTGTTTTCACCTTTCAGTTTCGTCTGCCAGCCGGAAATTAAAGAAACGGAACCTCGGTAATGAAACTTAAAATATATTTAGCCTACCAAAAATGAGTTGTCTTGAGAGAGTTCAGAAGGGTTGCGTCGACAGCTTCACTATCCTTGCTCAAAGGACCGCTGAAAACCCCAAAATCCTAATTCTTTTATTGCTCAAATGCATCAAATTGGTTTTCATTTCTTAAAGTTTGTCAAATACATTTACGAAGCATTTTTTTTTTTTTTTTTTTACAACGCTTGAGATTGCATTACGCATCTCTTTCAATGTATCAAAAGCAAGACCGGAAGACCAGAAGTGACAGAGGAAAGCACCTCGTACTCTCCTTGTCTCCTGTTTATTTTTCGGGGCGAAGCTCCTTAGGGGCTAGCCATGTCGGTATGTCCATCCGCGGTCGGGTGCACGTGCTCACGTGCTCGTGAGCACGTGCTCCCGTGCTCGTGTAGGGCAAAAAAAAAAACATCTCCACGTGGTGAATGATAATTCCTGTTTACGCCAAAACGTTTCTTTTTTTTTTAAGTTACATGGTGAAATTTAGCCGGGGAAGGTAGGGTTGGAATGAATCCCCGTGGTATGGTCGGTAAACTGCTTACTGTGCAAAATGCCAAAATCAATCAACAACAAAAAAAAAATCTCACCTTTTCGGGTTTTTTTTTTTTTTCATTTGTGACGTAATCGATTATGAAGTTTAGAAGCTTTGTAAGCGACAAACTACTCAATATATATAAAAAGGATCATCTTTAAGCGCGTCTTACGAATATACAAAGTAGCACTCCTTTGTCGTAATTGTAGCTCTCTTATTAAAACAGAAACGCAGCTCATTTCTCTAAATGTGGCAAAATTGCACGTCAGTATTCAAAAAAAAAAACTCGATTTTCTATTTTCTTCAAACTCTCATTTCGGAAGTTGAGAACCGTATGCACAGCACATAACCGTGAAGTTCAAATGCCCTCACACGAGAAACGACTATCGCCGCGAAAACAAGGCGAAGGAAGTAGTATCTCGAGAGTCGGTATCTTAGTGTTCAACATTGTGTGACGGCAAACAAAACCAGCTTACCCTTTCTAAGTATCCATGCGTACCAAATGGAATACGGAAAGAACTTTATAACTATAAGGGCTTTGTTGTTGGGTGTTTCCCTGTCAGTTGATACAGTGATCGTCCGGGTCATATCTTGTATATTTCCGTAAAATATATACTATATGAAAGTCATGGCCTTGAGGAAAAGCACTCAGCTACACATACAGGGTGTTTCACGAAACGCGGACCAAATCGTTCCTGTGAAACGTACGCATCGCACAGAAAGAGGATTGATGTAATATTGGCTCCTACCAAGGTGCAAATTTAGGAAAAATTAAGTGTTTCATATAAATAGGTGGATCATTACTTTTAGTGATTAACTTCGTGAATAATCAAGTTTAAGGCACCATTTTAATTGCAAACATAGGGACATAATTTCAAACCCATGTTATAGGGATGTAAGGCATGCCCGTCCTTTTGCGACGCTCCGTCAAATACACTCAATTTGGACGTGTTTGGAAAGAGGGGGGATACGTATCAGGAGGCAATGCGAGTAAACACCAATATAAAGCTAAACTAGTGACACCATAATTTTATATACCCTGCGGTAAAACAGCACCGCTGTACAGCCTTTGTCGGTTCTAGAAAATATCTCGTTGGAACCGACGCCGTGCTGCAAAGCCATTATTACAAAGACAGGCTAACTGAATTCGAGTAAAGGTTTGTTGTCGTTCTTTTTCTTAAGAAGGCCATATGTTATTTTTATTAAAAATAGCGCAAAAAGTACGGGACAAAAAGCCGAAGATGCACACCGTGCGTTGCCCAATGTTTTGCCATCAGAAGTTAATTCAGGTCACTGTAATCACTGTAAACGGCTAAGGAGAGTTGAAAAAAACATTAGTCTTTTTTTTCCTAATAATATTGACGTGCAATTTTGACCCATTTAGATACACCCAAGCTGAGTTTCTGCAATCATAACAAACCTACAATACTAGCTAAGCACATTTTGCTATATATTCGTAACATGCATTTAAAGATGATCATTTTGATATATCTTCTGTTGTTTCATACGGAGTTACTCGTTTGCAAATAATATTTGAATGTGCCTCTAAAACGTGTTTATTTGACATGTATCGAATTTTTAATATCTTTTTGCAGGGAAATCTTTTATTGTAGTTTTAATATTCTGTGTTTATGTCGTAAAGTTTCATGAAATAAGTAGAAACAATTATTACTACGTCCATGCTTCAATGTGAAATCGACAGCTGTGCAAACACCACAGTGAAACCTTCGCAAATTTCACGCCTTGAGATTCGTAATTTTATATCCCCGAAAGAACACTAGCTACGGCATACGCATATAGCTGAATGCTCCTTCTAAGAACATGGCTTTAATATACATATTTTACTTAAATACAAAAAATATGACCCGGACCATCCTTGCAGAATACGACGTGGAAACACCCTACGGTAAATTTAATATAATATTGAGTTGCCTTACCAAAATATATTCCTAAAAACTCCAACTAACAGTTATAATTTGGAGTAAGAGGCGTATTGAGACAAGGAGATAACACCAAAAATAATACGAGCAAGTATTAAATGCAACAAAAAATATTCTTCCAAATAAAATATTTATCAAAACCTAGCCTATTTTTATAGTTACTAATGGAACAAATTGTTATTCTTTCTTGAACTTTCATTGAGAGCTTACAGTTAACAAAAGCATGCTCCAAGCAGTTGGCGAATATCCCCGACTGAAAAATCTTTGAAGAACAACTAACCAGGTCCTTATTGCGAATGTTGCCCGCCATTCGAAAAGCAAGCGATTGCATTTTAAACCTTTGAAATGAGATATATGCTAACGGCTGTCATATTCGACTTCAATTCTCAGATGAAACATCAAGAGGCTCAATCGAAGATGTAGTTATGGAAGTCTTCGTCATAATGGATCCAAGCTACAGCAGCCATTTTTCGTCTTGGATATCCGCAGTGCCCTACGTCGCCATGTTTTTCAATTGTGTGAGTTGCATTGTCTCTCTTTTAGTCACCCACGCGCTGCCCTGACGTTACACCACTGGACGCATGCGCAGACGGTCCACTTCACGCGAATCTGGTTCCTGCCCATGTTGAGTGGCGACACCTCGTGGTGGAAATGCGCCTTTTCCCACACGAAGTGTGGGCTTGTTTGTGGACAGCGCGTTGACCTATATGACCGTTAGTACTAAAACATCTTAGCGTGTCATACTTTGATCGACATTGAGGCAAACATCATTAACGCAAACATTTCTGTACTGTACCCAGTCACATTTCTGCAGCCCTATCAGGGGCTAGAGCGCGAGAGTGTCGGCCACGCCAGGAAAACAATGCCCGACCTTTTTTACGGCTGCTGCGTAGGCTCTGTTCATTTCTTGTGCGCGATGGTGTAAAATGCAGAAACCGCTCGGGTAACCCAGTGTTTTTGATAACGTACGGTTGCCTTACCGCAGTGCTACATCAACAGACAATCACGTAGGAGTAGACAGAGTTGTCCATTTTAAACTACACAAAGCTTTCATTGCATCTGACGGTCATAAAGCTAAACTGCAAAAAAATTGGCTGAATGAAAACAAAAATCTGAACACAACAGGTAGTGACTGCCAGACGACATAATGACGCCATCTCTATCCTGACTGATTGACCTCTATGTATTCAGATAAGAAAACAGTACGAAGATAACCCAAATGGCAGGGCCCATAAAGGCCTAGCTACACAAGTCATCGCGTCTAGGGATGACATCAAAGGGCTCTTCCCAGCTTCTTAAAGCAGCCAGTGCGTAACTTGGGCTGATGTGTACGGATGCGCATTAAAGCCGTAGCTTTTGGATGGTGGCAGCACAAGCAAACCAATGTTTTCTGTGGGGAGCCAAGCCAAGAAGATCTGGAAGAATATTTCCATGAACTGAGCACCCGACATACTTTACAGCCCCTATACAGTACTTACGACGTGCGCTAACATAAGTGTCACTGCTATTGTTAACAATTTCACAAGATGCCGATAGTTTTATGGCATCACAATTGCGTCACTATGCCTTCACCATGACGTCTTAGTAACATTTAGTTTACTTCCACTGATGGACAGGACATAGATCAAAGCACCAAGCTTACTGGCATTACCGTTAAGTGTGTGATTAATATAAGCTACCACCATATCCTTTAGACATATTATCTAACTTCCGATTCGTAACTGAAGACACGTTACCAGAATAATAACATTTGAGAGACATCCTAGCCCCGACCGTCGCGAACTTACCGGGAGTATCTTCTTACATATGCATAGGCACCCTCGCACAAAGAATAAGAAAATGCTTTCATGGCAAACTTTTTTCTTTTTTTTTTCTTTTTGCGCAAACGATCATGTATCTAACAAATACTCCTGCGCTGCATATATGCTCCCGACTAACAATAAATAAAAACGCATTACTCATTCCGTCGACTCCAATGGTGCGTGCTTGTACAACTGCTTTCGTTTCTCTTCTAGGTAAACAATAGATTTGCAGAGGTGAGTATTTTTGGGGCCAAAATCGAGCTTCGAGTCGTCGGCTTTGAGAAGAGCGGCCCTGTAAGTGTACAAACTCACGCTACTAAAAGCAGTAGCGGAGAAACTTATTGTCTTACGAATGAATAACATTTGTATAATACAAATACTTCAATCAATAATACATCAATGTATGTCTCGACTGCACCATGTTGTAAGGTTATCTGTTTCTCCTTGTATGTTAAAGCTCGCGTCTGTTTGGGTGAAGGCCGATACACACAGTTGCGTTTAGGGCGTTCGACTGCGCTGCGTCGAGAAACGAGAGTGAATCACCGGCACATATGTGCTTCGAATGAAGCGTGAAATCCAATTGAAGAAGTAGCTTGGCACACGACATAAGAAGCAGGGATGTCCTGGTTTCTCTCAGCCGCAACGCAGTCAAACGCACCCAAACGCTCTCAAATGCAACTGTGTGTAGGGGCCATTAGCATTCTTTCAACGCAAAGTATCTTGGATTAATCAAGTAATTAAACGAGCGCATCCAGCCAAGCTCTAATTCTCAGAGTCCCAACGTTTCGGGACCTATTCGGCATCTCCTTCAGGGGTATCTACGGCAAAAGCCATTAAGTTGCGGTACGCCTATTGTGATCCCAATGGCCAATGGGGAGCAGCGGGCTTTAACAAGCTTCGGCGTACGGACGTACGTCGAAGCTTGTTAAAGCCCGCTGCGTACAACGAGAAAGCTGCAGAAGATACGAAAATGCAAGGCATAGTGCTCCTCAAAGGCCATAGACATAGTCACCGCTGAAAAAGTGGCTAGTAAGCTTCGAAACCGTTTGTTCCTGAGATTTACTAGTTGGTGGGACGCCCTTTTTTTCCCCCAACCAGACAAAATTATATTAAATTTTCTCATTCTAATAAAAAGGTGCTTGCGGTTACCACGAATAGGTCAATTTTTTAGGGAGTCTTCCGTGCCCCGTCTTGGGTTCATAATGTACTATATAGCAAGCGAGCCAATTCAGCAGACTATACCGGCGAACATTTGCACAATCCCTAGCGCACAATACACGTTAAGGATCTCAGGTTAGCAGTATAGTTTCGCAACGCCGAATCGTCAGTCTGCGGCGGAGACCCGAATACCAGTATTTCAAGGTCAGTGGAACTGGCACCTGTAACGATTCCCTGCAACACAATTATCTTTGTACACTGCTCATTGTAAAAAGCAGCAGTTGTGGTGGAATACAAAAATACTAAATTAAAGAGACAGTGACCGTAACGGAATTATCTATAGTCTGTTGTACGTTAACTATAGTAGGATAAGATCATTCCACGAAGCCCTCCTTTATTTCCATTTTAACGAGCATCGAACTTTATGTGAGGCGCTCACCCTCTTATTTTAAGCCTGCAGCGAAAAATGGGGGCCACTATGATCGCGCCTACACTAATTAAAAATATATTCCTAGTAAAAAAATCTTATATGTGTAAGAAATTTTTATGTCCAATAAACGCATATGATTAAATAAGATCATATAAGAACATACAAGAACTTTACAATAACAAAGAAGAACAATATAAAAAATATTTAAGATTATATAAAAAGTTATAAGAAACGGATAAGAAGTTTCTTATAACTTCTTTTATAATTTTATATTGTTCTTATATATTCTTATAAAGTTCTCGTATGTTCTTATATGATCATATTTGATAATTGTGTTTATTGGAGATAGATATTTAAACATATTAGATTTCTATTAGGAATATTTGTAAGATAGTGGCCAGTGATCCAGAGATATGTACAGGTGCTAATTAGAATGAGAAAAGGGGATCGCTTTGCGATCGATATGCAAAACAGAGTAATTTCCTGAAATATACAAACCAAAACATTTCCAAGAAGCAGAATTTTTTTAAGCATGTAATTAGTGATACGCTTAAACTGGCTGATCCCAGCCGTCTCTAAGTCGACCATGTTTTGTTTTTGTTTTTTTGTTTGTTTGTTTGTTGTTTCGCTTGTGTAGCAGCCCCCTTATGAAAAGGTTAATGACGACAAGATCGATGGGCCATTAACCTTCCCGTTACTCGACCGCTACATTGCTGGAACATCTACCGTGAATTCCGCCGATGTAGTAGTTCTCATGACAGCGTAAGTACCCGGGTTCAAGAAAATTATCCGCAGAGTACGCAAAGAAAGTGGAATCCCCGCGCAAGAAACTACTTATTTCTGCCTGTGCATAAGCTGTTGAGTGTAGTTCCTTCGTATTCATGGAAAGGGTCAGACTGGATGATATCACTGAACGAATATTGAGTGTTCTAGTATCCAGAATTTAAAAAAAAAATGTTCTCCAATTTTTGGTCAATGACAGCCTAAGAAACAGTAACTATACTCACGTTTTCGACTTCAAAATTTCCGCAATAATATATTGCGAATATACTTTTAGTAGACTGTATTATGTTCTTTGAGGCATCGTGATCATAATCCTTGTCGTCATATTTGTTCATGGTCCCGTACGTAGGCGGCGCATATGGTCGGCGTACAATGTTGTATAATATGTATCTCCTCTCTATTCTGTTATTCATTTCTTGTAGATATGACCTCCACCTTCCAGATAAAAACGGCCGCCCGAACTTTGCAGTACAAGGTAATACGTACATCAAATGAAGTATACAAGGTGTGGCTATTAAATAACGAGACTCATCTTCAAAACATTTATTTTAAAAAATAATAATTTAAATGTCTCCTTTTTATGTACTCCCTGTCCCTATAGACCGCTCCATGCGAATCTTCGATTGCTGAAAGCAACACTGGAGGTCATCAAGTGATAAGCCCTTCATATGAGTTTCGTCGTTTTTGCTTTTCTAGCATCAACAGAGTCAAACCTCCTTCCTTAGTTTCGAATCATACTTGATCTTGAGGAATAGGAAAAGTCAGACGGGTACGGGTCAAGATAGTACGGCGGGTGCTCCAACATGCTGATCCAGGAACGACATACTGGAAAAGCTTTGTGTGCTGCCGCGTTGTCTTGATGAAGGACTCATGAACTGTTCGTCCACATTTCAGGCCATGTCGTTCCTGGCTCCGAATAGAATCCCCGTGTTGGAGCATCCGCCGTACTCACTTGACCTGGCCCATCTTACTTTTTCTCCTCCTCAAGATCAAGTCTGGGTTGAAAGGAACGAGGCTCGACTCTTGATGCTGTGAAGGAAAAAGCGACGGAACTCATGATGGGCTTATCACTTGATGACCTATAGCATTGCTTTCAACAATGGAAGGTTCACATGGAGTGGTGTTGGGACAGGGGAGGGGAATGCATGGGAGACTAACTTTCAACTGTGTAAATTTTATGAACAATTCTTTTTTGTAGGAGTGATTTTATTATTTGTTAGCCACACCTCGTACATTACTAAAGTTTGGGCATTCCGGGGTCATTTTCAAAGCCGCTCCCTTGATATGATTATATACATTTGCTCGTGCAGAGAGTACGAGAAACATTTTAATTCCCTCTTTCACCATGCCTCTATGCACCGTGGGGTCTCGCTAAGAAAGCTTATTTATATACGTCTTAAACTTTTTTGTAATGCGCTAGTGTGCCAGATTGATTCTGAACACCTACGTTGTACCATATTTATTTAAAAAATGCTGGGCTTCTAGTTCAGCAGAGGATTTTCACTGTTTTATAAAACGGCTAATTTGAGAACAGAGGAGATGCCCATATAAATTTTTATAATGACTAACTTTGCGCTTTAAATCTTATGTCTGGTCGTTTCAAAAATCTCTTGCTCGAAAGCAGTTCGCGTTCGCTACATCAAAAGGTCATTATTTCTTCACTCCTTTTATTTCACAGCTTAACAAATGTATTCCAGACGCGGTACTGTCTTTTACCGCATTTAATGAAGTTGATTTATTATAGATAATTGCGCTTTCCTTGCCACAAAATTATAAAAATGTAAACCGCTAAAAAAATTGCCCTTTTTGTTAAAAGGTTTGGCGAGAGTAGGCAAGGCGTGCACAAAAGAAAAGACTGCCATTGTAGAGGACTTCCCAAAGCTCTTAACGGGTGTCGAGGCAGCTGCCCATGAAATCGCTCATCTGTGAGTCGTTAAAAACTTGTTATTAATATCGTGCTGTACGATTGTTCATTTCAACGCGGCTGAAAGTTATTGAGGAAGCGGTGTCTCCTTCAAGGTTTGGTGCTGTGCATGACGGCCAAGGATCTGCCGCATCTTGTCCAGCGAAGTCCGGCCATATCATGACGCCAGCAATCGGAGATATAAGATTACTCAGCTTTTCTTGGTGCAGTCAAGCTGCCATGGAGGCGTTCTTTAGGTAAGAATTTCCCCTAACACCTCTTGACATCTTACCTGAAAACACGTCGGTCTTATTGCTGTCATGAACCTTGTTTCTTGCTTTTACTAAATACTTATACGAAACCTACGAAAGAAGTGTTAGTTTTAACAAACATGAGTTTTTGTAGTTTAAGGCAGAAAAATATGACAAAAAGCTAGATGAGCTTAAAATCCTCAACTAGCAGTCAGGACAAAATGTCATGTGATCTGGTGCCAATTATATGCTGCCAGTGGCCGCGCTTACATTAATGCGAAAGTGACACGTCGAATTGAAATATAAGATCAGTCACTGCCATACTGCTTCCTTCTTACTTCCTGCTCTGCCCAATTATATTATTGTCATCAAAATTCAATGCGTCATAGTCGCGCCTATGCAAACGCAGCCAATGGCTTCATTTAGTAGATCCGATATGAGTGCATCCAGTGGATATGTCACTACTATCAGTACATGAAGAGAGAAACCGGGCGCCTGGAGTCGGTCTCTTCTCAGTTTTATGCGCTACAGTTCACGTGGAAGGTAGGAACAAATCTCAACGTTCCGATCTGCTCAAAGAGAACATTACTTTTTCATCGTGTTCAACCTGCTACAATACTTCTTACTTTATAACTATTTGATTTAGATACAAGACAAACGCACATCAAAAGCATCACACAAGGCAAACTCTATACGTAAAACAATATCTTGGGAATTTTTTGTAAGGAAAGGGTTTCATTTCAATCATCACGTGAAAACTGGTGTGATTTAAAACACAATTTAAATCACCTTGAATTTTATTATCCACCACGTTCAAAATTAAACAATATAACTCGTTAGTGAGTTTGTCTGTAAAGTTTCTACTCAAGTAAAATATTAACTTTTTTTCTAATAACCTTAGGGATATACAGACATTTTTCTTTTATTTGAAAGGTTTTTGGAATATTCGTTTCCTATTTTCGTAAAATCCAATTCTTGCTTTTTTTCTTTCTGACCAGTGGCGTAGACTATCGGTGTCTAGATGTATTATCGAGAAATATCATGTTTGCCAAAATGACCGAGCTACCGGGAACTAAAGTTGACGGCGTCGCTCTATGCAAACTCAAGTACCCTCGTTTCAGTAATGTCAGAGTGGCCACAGTAAGTAGAAAGCTTGTTAAGTGCAATAAGCAATACCCAGTTTGCTATTAAGTTATGAGTATGCTCGTTCAGTTTTCGTGTTCTATTCTGAAGAATGTTTCGTACCGAGAGCACGAAACCCTCGACGGTTCTTGCACTTTGTAGGACTTACTGGGCTGGACACGGATCACAGGGGACGTTGAGTATTCGTCAGTGGCGGCGCCAGCAAATGGGCACCGGAAATCTTGCTTAGGTCGAAAATACGCTACAGAATTTTGATCAGTGCTCGAAGGTATTAATAGCCAAGTAGGCGCCATCAAATAGAAATAAGCGTGGTAGAAGCCTCTTTCTCTTTCTCTCTGTCTCCTTATTGTATTTCCTTCCTCTGCTGGCACAATGTATCAAGTAACCCTGGAAACTTTCTCATCTGCATATAACTAGACCGAAGGTATTACAGTAATTACGAGATCAAATTTACGCACAATCTATGAGAAGTGGTCGCTTATAACATTGCCCGAATTATTTCAAGCCGAAGGTGAAACAATGATGTGTAAGAAATTATAGAATATATACGCCTATCGCGAGTGTTTCAGGAAAAAAAAGGGTAGACGGCGCCAGTGCGTTCTCTCGTAGCATAGATCTCAAGATATATAACTCTTAAATAAATGTTAGGGGGAAAAAAAAGAAAATACTGGCTAGGTGGCGCAAGCCGCCGCCCGATTCAAAGGGCTCAGCCTCATTAATCCATCCATCCATCTATCGTATAAGCATTCGCAAGCGGTTACGTACTAGCTCAACCATATTTAGGCAGATAAAGTGTAATCGTGTGTGTGTGGAAAGAAAAGCGGGGGAGGGGGGGGGGTGCAAAAGAATAAGGAGCTTTTGGAGGTGCGTACTTTGTCGCGCTTTGTACGTTTCTTGGTTCCGTATTCTACCTTTTTTTTATATATAATCTTGGTTCTTATTTAACTTTAACTTGGTTTTGCATCTAACCTTTTATTTATTTGCTCTATTACATCAACAGAAGGTATGATGATTCTGATTTCTTCATTCCATCTGGCTTTGGCCTTCTACTTCCCAGTGAGATTTTGCCGAAGCGATAGCTTTTCACCTAAACAAATGCATATCTCTAACTTTCTAAAATCTGTCTTTGTTAAAATGCAGAACCATTCGGATGCCCTGTGTTCTAAGACCCCTATGCATTTCTACTCCATCATTATTATTGTCACAACCATGAGCAATCCCGTTACCTACGAATCGGCCTATAAACAAACAAACGTATTGTCAGTACGGCATGAACTTTTAAACATTAGCATTAGCACGATTAGAAATGATGACATTAATGTTGCTACAAAATAGAAATACTAAAACATAGCATTAGTTTGTGCATTTTCGGGTGACATACTTTATGACTGAAATTCCCTATTTTTATGTAGCGACCAAGCGACTCCATCAAGTGTGTGATACGGTGTCAAATGCAGAACCGGAGAAATACAATATACGCTTCTTTGCGCGCTCCTGACGGCACGCCTTGCGTCTATGAAGGCGAATCAGAAAAGGTAATATTAATTTCAGCGTAAATTTGGTACATGACTGTTGTAGTAAATGGGGGAGGGGGGGGGGGGGGGTTGCGACGTGACTTTTTGCATTTTTTGGTAGGTTACAGAGCAGCAGCAGTTTGCGAAGCACTGTATTTACCGTTTAAACTGTACAATATAAACTAAAGGATTCTGTCGAGACAAGAGATACTCAAAACGATACAGATTAACTATGTGACACCCTACGCCAGTGAGCTCCCTAAAACTTGATAGAAATCATTCAGTATACCTCTGTGACAAATTTGTCAATCAGTTCTCTGAAGGTGAGTGGAAAACAAAGCCACAGACCTCGTTAGCAGTATAAAGGTTGTTGTAACTTTAAAAGGCCAGAGTTAAGCTTACCAACTCATTGCCACCCACCATAGCGGTCAGATATTTGTTTTTCCACAAGCTCACTTAAATCCTTTGAAACCCTATACGACCACTCCGGCGAAAATAGAAGATCTCATGACATTGTTTTAGGACAGTGTAAAAATTAACAATTTTAACTACGCCATCAAACTTTCTAAAACAAACGGTGAAAATGTCTGATATCGCCTCCGAATGCTCACATTCATCACAGTTTCGTTTTGTCACTAAATCGATCCAGTATCGTCAGCTGTACCTTACACAATGCGTCACGATTTTAGCAGTTCTTTCATTCTACCATCATGGGAGGGAGAACACGTTAAAATGCATAACCGAAGCAGACGTAGACACTACACGGAAAAAGAATGCAGAAAACATTGACATCACCAAACATTTCTGGTAGACGCCAAAAGTTATTTAAGATGATAGTTATTCTGGTTATTCCCAAGAGGGTGGAATAAAAATTCGTGAATATCCTGAATAAGTATTTTATACGCTAAATGGTTGCCTTTTAATAAAATAGAAAAGTCCTATTTTGCACTCACCGGTCTTTTAACTTACTGACCTTTTAAGGGGACACACCCCCTGGGAGGGACAACTTTTGAACCCTTCACTTAAAATTAATGATATTTACAGGGCAAACTGATGTCATGGTAGAGGGTGCGTAGCAAAATTTCAGATCTGTCGGTTCGTATCAGCAACAACACATTGTTGCTGCTGATACGTGTTGCTGAACAGCAACACGCCTACATTGTTTAGTTAATCTATCGTCGGAAAACTATCACAATATTCAAGATTTTTATTTGCTAGACATGGAGCAGAATGCCTAGGAGGTGCGGCTATAAAAAGTTTTTTTGTAACATGTAGTTTGTTTATATATATCTTCTTTCCTGCAAAATTGGTCACCTTTTTAGTCTTCTGTGTCTTTCACAAAATGTCAGCATTTTTCATAAAAAACATCCATAAAGTGACAAAACAATTCCCTAGCCGCATTCCATATTAAATTTCAGTCAGGAAAAGTGAAGAATGAGCCTTCCCTGTATTGCCATTATGAAACGATAGATTGACTAAAATGGAATTTATACCAAAAAGTGGAACGGAGAAAAATGTGTTCAAAGTGTTTCAAACTCTACCTTTTCTTTTGCTTCGGTGGACCAAAAATAATTTGTAAAAAATTAACCATGCAGTGTAAACTAATGAAACTTTCTGAAAATAATCTCTAGATGTTGGCGGATGTGAATATGTAACTTTTCAAAATCGTTGTTTTCTACAAAATATTTTTTTTTGCTGGGTGTTGTCTAACTTTAAGTTCTTGCTTGGTCAACTCAGGCAGCCTGTTAAAATCCCTGTCCGTTCTTCTGTTTCAGATGTGTATAAACGGTTTATGTGTACCTAAACCGAATTAAAATTAGGCCCACAAGCAACCTACATGAAATAACTAATTATGCGCCACAAGGTACGAAGAGTTACAAGTCTTTGCGAATGAAGATCCCAGGACCTCGAAGAAAACTTAAAGCGTGCTATCCTTTTCAGTTAGAGGAGCAGAAAGAGTCCTACTGGATATTCAAAATACTCATATGTCAAGTTGTGACTCCCATAATCTCAATGCACACGTACCAAATTCCATTAAAATCTCGCTGCATAAAACCTGATTTTTTTTTCTGGTTTCCTCATTACTTGGTAAGACTCGACCAATGCCTCCCACAAGAGTGTACTGCTCAATGTTTCAAACTCAAAAATAAAAAAAATGCGAAAAGAATTCCTAAACAAGCGCAGAAAACCGCTAAACTTAAAACGCTAGCCAAGAATGACCGTTTTAACATCACATTATTTTTGCACCCATAATATTCCAATGGCGTCTCAAGCGATATCTAACTGATAGTTTTGCTTAGAGTAAGCAAAAATAGCGACCCCATACTGCTTAGCATCAAAATTAAACTATTTACGATCGATAAATGTAAAGTGGAAAACGTTTTAGACTGCCAGAGAACATGCTAACATGACTTGAGAACCACTTAAAGTACCGCCAACCACAAAACGGATATTTCTTCCGCTAGACAACTCAGAAAATATCTAAAGTGGCAACACTGTCGGATTTTCTACGCCATCTACAGCGTGCCAGAGGGAAGGGGGGGGGGGTGCAAATTGTACACCATGTGCTGAGCCAGCGCTGGTATGGGAAACATCACCTATAGAATAATAAAATCCCGTGCGCTAGAATCTTGACCCCATCGCAGCGAGGCTGCAGAGCAGACAAGGATTGGACACGGGTGCCACGTCAGCGTTCGGCAGGGCCTCGTGACCAATCAGCGCGTTTAAGGACGCTCGACGTCGGGCTCGGGTCCAATCGTTGAGTTGGCGCCATGCGAGTCTGCATGGTTACATCTCATGGAGGAGAAGAAAATTGTTTCCAGGCTTTGAGGTGGTGCTGGGCTTTGGCGCGTTGTTTCGGACGCAGCACAGCGTTGTGTACTTTCAGATATCGTGAGTTCAAGAAATGCCAGCCTTTTTCGGCTCAGATACGGGTTGCCTTTGTGTAAAAGAGTGCATCTTTCTAATCGTGACTGCACATATAGACACTGCGCATCGCAGGTTAGGCAGTCGTAGTGCGTTAGCCTGGTTCATGTCAAGGCACCGCCCCCTTCTTGTATCTGTGTCTGTATGGTGGATCGGTGGCCGAGTGGGCTAGCGCACACCAGCCCTGAGCACGTGGAGCGAAAGTTCGCGCTGCAGAACCCAAAGATCCTGGGCTCAGTCTCGACCCCTGCCCATTTCAATCTGGATGAGCGTCGTACCGGCGTGCGGTCGTGTATCACTACTGCGCGGTGCACGTTAAAGACCCCAGGCTAGCGGTCGTACTGCACTGGCTAAACTGCTTATCTACAGTGGGTAACAATGTCGCCATGTTCTGGCAGACTAAAAACTCCTGCTGTATAAACAACTAACGACTAATTTGTTGTTGTTTTGTCGTCCGCGTGTTTCCCGATCCTCTGTGCCTGTCTTTGTGTGCGCAAATTTAACTACGCTAAAGTGGGATTTCGGATGACGCGAGTAATATCCGAAAACACTTGTTTTTAAGTTCCCGTTCGCAGACGACGGGGAAAGACGCTCCACGGACGATTCGTCGTCATCGCGCCGTTGGTCGTGTCGGGCTCTCATCTCTTCGCGCGGCGCAGGCAATGCAAGCATCCGACTTCTCTCTCCTCGCACCATGAGGGAAGAGAAAGGGTTTTCCATCTCTGCTCCTACGATAAAAAGAAGAAAAAACGCCGACACCGAAATCTCTGCGAAGTCTCACCCGTAAAGCCTTTAAGAAGCCGGCTGCTTGCGGAACGTTACTGCTTTTCCATGTCATGCGTGGAGGAATTAAGGTATATGTGGGTGCATACATCTTAGAACAGCTTCACATTATTTTATCAAGACGCGCACGTGATCCAACATCAAAAGCATAGCTTCTTTCTCCGAAGACCAAATGTGAGAAGTAGTTCCTGCAGCGCATGAATATTGCACTTTTTTTTTTCCTTGATATGACGAGTAGATTGGCGTGCGCACAGACGCTTTCAAGTTTTTCACCAGAGCAGCCAAAGACACGCTGCACGATGCAGGCCGTAAAAGAATGTAATGAGAAAAATAAATACGAGTGAAATCCGGAAGAAAAAAAAACAAAAAATCTATAATCTGAACTTTTAATAAATTTAGTCAAGGTTATTCAAATTCAAGTTCAAATTCGTTTATTTTTGCCACAAACGGTACATTTGTGACAGGGGCGCTGGAAAAAAAGCTGCAGGTCTGCAGCTTGACGAGTCCCAGCACCCCAGAACAAGGTAAGAGCGGCACCGGCACACACAGACAAAAAAGAACGAATATGCGCACACATACATAGGCATACACATATACAAAGGATAAACACGAGAAAAACATAAAGAATTCAACTTCGCAATCAACAGTATACAAAAAAGTGGTGGTTACTTATTATAAAGCTTCTTGAATGGAATAATGACTAACGGAGTGCATTTCAATATCACGGGAAAACAGGGTGTTTAATAAAAGTGGTAACTGGTGGCGATATCTTTGTAGACCAAAATTTGTCCTTGAAAAGGGAATACGCCAGGGGGCCTACCTCGCGATGGATATACAGACTCGTTTGCTTCTAGATTACCAAGATCTAAAGAAATAACATTATTTTCTCTTACGGATCGTTGATAATTAGCTATCAGTCTATGTGCATACAAATTGGTTATATCAATGACTTTATGTTTTTCAAAAAGAGGAAGGGAATGATAGTCACGCGGAACATTTTCGATTATCCTGAGTGCCTTTTTCTGTAATAGGCGTAGTTTGTTAATGTTGCCCTTTGTAGTCGAACCCCATACCAGGTGGGAGTAGCAGAGCACAGGGTAAAACAGAGCATTGTAAATTAGTTTTTTAATATTTACCGGAAGTATGTGCCTGAATTTATTCAGTATTCCGACAACTTTGCATAGCTTTTTATGAATATAGGCAACATGATTATTCCAGGACATGTGACAAGAAAATATTACTCCCAACGTCTTTATACTATCGACGCACTCTATCGCACAATCCCCCAAAAACAAATCGCGCGACAACCTGATGCGTGGTCCTGGACACTGAAATAAAACTGCCTTTGTTTTGGATGTGTTAATAACAAGGGAATTCATAACTACCCACGATTTTAATTTATTTAAAAAATAATTCGCTTTGAAAGTGAGCACCCCTTCCGTAGAATCAGAAAAAAATATGCTGGTATCATCCGCGTATATAATAAATTTAGCAGACGTTTCAATATTTACAATATCATTAACATAAGTGATAAACAATAATGGGCCTAGAATACTTCCCTGGGGGACCCCGGAACTAATGCGTTGCATAGAAGATCTGTTATTATTAATTTGAACGTATTGGGAACGGTACTGTAAATAGGACGAAATGAGTGCTAATGGAACTCCTCGAATACCATAACAATCTAATTTATCAAGAAGAGTTCTGTGATTTATCCGGTCAAATGCTTTGCTGAAGTCTACAAAGATCCCCAACGTTAAAAGTTTACTCTCGAAATTTTCTAATATTGTCTCTTTTTGTACTAATAAAGCAGTTTCTGTAGACCTACACCTTCTGAAACCGAATTGCGAGTCCGTCAACACAGAATATTTTTCAAAAAAGGTTATTAGTCGAGAATATATTATCTTTTCTATTGGTTTCGAAAATACAGGAAGAATCGATATGGGGCGATAATTACTCATGTCATTTTTATCCCCGCCCTTATAGAGGACAGAAACTTTAGCCACTTGCATGTTTTTAGGAAATACACTAGATGATAATATGAGATTATACAAATGAGTTATGCATGGTAATATCAAATCTAGTACAAATTTAACAGGTTTGATTAAGAGGTCATCACAATCACGACTACGGCTATTTTTTCATATTCATAAACACCGAGGATACTTCTGCAGTATCTGTGGGATTCAAAAAAATAGTTTCGCTAGTGCGGGAGACGTTATCTTTGGCGTTACTATTGTAAGTGCTATTCCCGACACTCACAAAGTAATCATTGAATTTATCTGCAAGTTCACTGCCGGAAATAATTTCATTATTTATAGTCATGTTAACGATGGCTGTATCTTTAGATTGGCTACGCAGAAGAGAATGCAGTTGCTTCCAGACCATATCGGGCTGCCTTAAACAGGATGAGTCGAATTTAGCCGCATAATAAAGCTGTTTAGCTTGTCTTAATTGAGCATTAACAAAATTTCTGAACTTTTTGAATTCGCGTAATTTTTCTTCGTCTCGTGTTTTCACAAAAGAGTCATAAAGTATGTTTTTCTTTTTAATGAGTTTCAAAAGGTGACCATTTACCCACGGCTTCCTAGCTTTCTTGTTTCGACGGATGCATCTGATTGGAAATGAAGTGGAATAAGCATTTTTGAAAGTACTTATAAAAAAATCGTAGCACTCATCAGCATCTGTAGAATTAAACATAGGACTCCAGTCTATAGTGCTGATTGTTTCTCTAAATTCTTCCAGTGTCCTAGAACTTATGTCTTGAGACATTGTTGAAAAGTTTGAAACTGCGCTATCTGACATATTCTTATTGATAAACATGATTATTGGAAGATGATCGCTGATCCCATTACTAAGCACACCAGCACTAATATTATTTTCATCATGATTAGTTAGAAATAGATCAAGCAATGTCGATGTGGTGCATGTGACGCGTGTTGGAGGAATAATTACATTGGAAAAATTGTTTGATGTCAATAAACCAATTGAATCGGGAGCTGATGCCGGTCAGCTCCCGATTCAATAAGCAGTTTCAAATTACCCATTCACCAAGACACTGTCTCCGAGATACCGTCACGACCAACGTTGATCCCGACGATCTCGGAGGCCATGACCACCGATCTCTATGACAATGGCTGGATCGCGCATCCCCGCTTGTTCCCTGCAGCGCGAATGCGGCCACCAAACAACAACCTTGCATGTGGAGCGGTTGGCGGCAGCGTGCTAAAGACACGTTTTCTACTCGGTCGTCGTCATTCGCCGAAGACGGTATTTAAGATCCTGTGTGAGCCGTGATACTTTCCGTTGAGAACATGTGGGAAATTTGTCGAAAGCGCAGTGCCGCAGGAAAAAGGCACAACTCGTCGAAAGCAAGTTTCGCCGGTCTCGCGGCCTGTTCAAAGCTTCTTTGGCACGCCGAAGTGCTGTGCCTCTGTGCCTTCGCACGCTTGGATATGCGGAGGGCAAGTTCGTCTGCTCCTTGCGCAGGGGGTAGCGGTGACGTCAGAACGCCGAGCCCTGATTGGCTGATCGAGCCCCCCTATCTGAGCGTCGTCTGCTTCTTTGCAACGTCGTCTGCTCGCAACGTCGTCTGCGTCTGTCTTACGTTTCCTGCGACTTTCGGGAGTGCAGAGGCCAGATTCACGAAACGATCTTACGCCAAAAATGTGCGTAAGACAAAACTTAAGAACAAATTCGTATTCACGAAACGAAATTTTCGTAAGTTTTGCGCAGGTTACGGCGAAATCCTACGACAGCTCCGAAGCTGTTACGCACTTCTTACGATCAAGTCAGCATGGCCGACAGCGTCGCGGTCGCGACGACCCACGGACGTTTATTTTTCTACGTGAGCTTCTCACGCGTCCTGACTTCAAGCAGCAAAAAAAAAGTAAAAATTATTTGAAACAGAGCACGACGAACAAGAACGCTGGATCCACAGACACCGGGGAAAAGCTCCAACGGCGACGATTCCTTCGAACGCGACCAAACGAGCTGGGCAGTTAGGCCTAGCAGGCACTCCGCGACTCGGCGACCGTCTGCCCACGACCGGCAGACGTGCTGGATGGAATATGCCCGCGCGACCCTTGTGAACCCTTCCCGTGTTATACTTTGATCGCTGACCTCAATTTTAGATTAAGAGGTCAATTTCTTCCTCTTGTTATCTCCTTGTTTCCCGAGGCAACGGTGACTCTCGCCGGTGAAAAAGCGGCGAATCTCCGACAGACGCAGGAAAGGTAAAGCAGCCATCGCTTTGACTAGCAGACGTAAAGCAGACGACGTTAACTGCGCCAACCCGCCGGCGCCGTTAAAGAGTGAGGGGTCTCGCCGCACACGAATGGAGGTAAAAAGTATTTGGGAGGGAACTTGCGGACACTAAGCAAACAAACCTCGGCGCCCCGGGACACCTCGCCAGTGAGTCCTTTGACTTCCCTCCTTGATGCGCGTCTGCTAGTAGTTAGACGAAAACAACGTACCGCTCGAGTTATTTAGTCTGCCCTCCCTTAAAGGCCAAGTCGAGTTCGCTCCGAAAGTCGCAGGAAAGGTAAGACAGACGCTGACGATGTTGCGAGCAGACGACGTTGCAAAGGAGCAGACGACGCTCAATAGGGGGTCGCGATCAGCCAATCAGGACTCGGCGTTCTGACGTCACCGCTACTTCCTTTCTCATGCGCAGAAGACGAAAATGAGCCCACTTGCAAGGCGTATTGATCAAGAATCGACGCCGTGTGGATGTGCTTTGCGAGTGCAATGTGCGTGAAGCCCAAGAGGGGCGGGGGGGGGGGGGGGTGACGGGGGCGGCCGCCCCCCCCCCCCCCTCCCCCCTTCTCGGAGGGCAATTTGCCATTGGTGGACCCCCGGTGCACAAGAAAGAATGGGAGAATTGTATCCTTACAAATTTTCCACACCCCCCCCCCCTTTCCCCAAAATGGAGTTCTGGATCCGCCCCTGCGGCCGGCACTCGCTGTCCAAAAACGAGCTTGATCCAGCGTTCAGTAGCGACGGAAGGTGGGGAAAAGGTACGTCTGTTTTTCGTCGTTAGACGATTTACACAATACAGCGCACAACGTCTCCTCATCACTGATCAGTGCTGGCTCATTATCAACCTAATTAATTGCACTTGACGTTTGAGCGCGGCTCGCCTAATTGTGATTGGTCAACGGATAGCACACGACCATATGGACCGCGCTTCAAAAGTTTGTATTCTCGCCGTCTTGTACTTATGCCTTCGAAATCCCTCTTGAAAGTGTACATTAGCGAGGACGAGGACGGGAACAGGACATCTTTCAAACACGGCTCGGAAAACGTTGGCAGTTCGTTTTCAATTGTAACTGCCAACGTTTTCCGAGCTATGTTTGAAACATGTCCTGTTCCCGTTCTCGTGCTCGCTGTTTTATACTTTCAAGTTTTGTATCTATTAACCAACACGCTCGTTTTCAATTGGAAATCCCTCCTTGGACCAAGATTTTGAACCAAGAAACTGAGTTCAAAAGTACCCACAATATGGCAGCGCTTCCCAGATCTGGTTAAAGCACTGGATAAATTTCCTTTCTCGCGCGAAGTTTCAAACAAGGACTCCGTTCTCATCGGAGACTGGTGTTTCCAAAAGTGGACCCTCCCGCGACGATCTCGGAGGCCATGACTATGGCAGCATAGCCATGACCACTAAGAGCATGGCATCCAAGATTTCGAACCGAAAGACTAACTTCAAATGTACCCACTAGTTGGCAGCACCTCCCAGAGGTGGTATTTCCTTTCGGCGCGAAGTTTCAAACAAGGGTTCCGTTCTCATCTGAGACTGATGTTGACAAAAGTGGACCCTCCCAACGATCTCGGAGGCCACGACTATGGCGGCATAGCCATGACCAAAAGCACGGCATCCAAGATTTCGAACCGAAAGACTAACTTCAAATGTACCCACTAGATGGCAGCACCTCCCAGAGGTGGTATTTATTTTCTGGCGCGAAGTTTCAAACAAGGGTTCCGTTCTCATCGAAGACTGCCACAAGTGGACCCTCGTTTTAAGCGGGAGTCTTCTCGGCAGATGATTCGCGTAGCGCCTCAGCCTTTTGTAGGCAAGCGCTATCGACCAAAGAGAAAGCTTTTATCTTTCAGCCAGTCTGCAATGGGGTAATTTATCCGTAAGAACCTCTCGACTACTGACGGATTAGTGGCATCGATGATGTTCATGTGACCACGGGATGTTGTTCGCTTGACTTACGTACAGAGCGAAGGACAAGAAAGATATATGTATTCAGTTTTATAAACTCAGCTAGGTGGCGCAAGTCCCCGACAGATTTGAAAAGCGGAGCTGGACTTTTTATTTGTTTATTCATATAAAATATAACTAACTTCGAAAATTCCCGATAGATGGCAGCACTTCCTGGAGTACGCATATCTCTATTGGTTGTAAATGTGAATGAATGGATACAGTTCGTCATTTAATAAATTGGGCGGTAACCTGCGCTACCTTCCTTGTATGTATAAGGAAAATACCGATTCAATTAGAACAGTTCCTCCAGAGTTGAGACGCGTTTATTTCAACGTTTTATTTTCTTTGTATGCGTATTTTCTCAAATCACAGGCCAGGAAAACTGCGATTTTGCATGCATGAGCCTCATTTTGCAGATAAACCGGGACTGCGTGTTGCAACGTCGCAGGGCAACCGCAGAGCACCTGCGGTTGTAAAGCTGAAATTTCATTTAAACCTTACCCCGGGATAAACCTTTTTTAGACCCGCTTTTCGCGGTTTTCGTCCTCTATGTTATTCTCCTCAAGCACCGTAACTTAATTAGCACGCTCCATTTCCACGAATGTAAATCACTGCTTTATGTCAAGGGGTAATTTGTGCAGAAAATGTTTATAGCGTTGCTTAAATGCATCTTCATATACTTTCTCTATGGGACAGATATTAGCTGCTTTGACATACATGAAGTGAATTAAAATAAAATCCAAGACTTCGATGGTATGCAAGACAAGTTTGAAGCATGTTTCACTATTCCCGGTGATTTAATTGTGAAGCTATATTATCAAAGGGGCAGACAAGCGGAATGGGCAGAAGTGGTCTTGATATTTTCACGCAGTTGGGAATGATGGGTCATCGGGGGCACTTCCTCCATAAATAGACAATGGTTCATAGGCAATCATTTCCCGGTAAAGTGGACCTCCATTTTTGAAGTCTCGCTCGTTGCGTTTCCAAATTAGTCGCAATATGACCTGCTGCAAAGTTACCACGGATGGTGGAGACGACAGAGCCAACACAATGTTGATCTACTGCTACATCAGTGTACTTGTTGCCAATTTTGCTGCATATTCCTCCGAAGAGAGCAGAATCATACCATTTTCATCAATTGCAACAACACAGGAAGATGTATCTTTATTCACCGGACCGCCTACATGAAGTGCAACCACCAGAGGATCACGCGCAGCGTCAGCAAGGTAGAGCTGTACAGTTCCACACAGTCGCTGGTAAAGAGAGGCTGCCAACGTGACCGGCTCGGACGGCACATCAGGGCAGAGTTTACGCCGCAGACAAGAAAAAACACCGCAGGCATGGACTCGAGTTCAAACGGGAGCAACATGTTTGAGAAGTAGGTCTATACTTGTGCAAAGGTGAGCATTGGCTTCAAAGGCGAGTCAAATAAGTACCGTAATATCCCGAGTCATCGCCCATCCCCGAGCCATCGCCCACCCCATTTTTTGGGCCAATATCGATTTCCGAAAAAACACCGAGTCATCGCCCACCCCTTCAAATACCCCAGCGCGGACTCTGCGATCCGCGAACACTCATCCTACCCGAATGACGACGCCGGGGACCTTCCAGTCCGAGGACGTCCGTGACAAAATAAAACGAAGGAGGGAAAGACACTTCTTTTTGTTTACGCATTTCCTCCGTGAGCGATCCCAAAGTGGTCGTGTGTCCGTGCGAAAAGAAAACGATGGAGATAACAAAATAACCGCGGAGTGTTAGGTCAAAGTATGTCTCCGCCGAAGTAAGGTCACCGCGAACCCGCTCCTTCTTCCCGCCCGTCGCGACCGCGGTTGTGCAATATTTTAGGCAAAGCCAAAGCATAAATAAAGCTTTGCTGGAACGTCCTACACAAACGTTTGCAGAGCGTCCCAACCGTGCATTGATAGCCCGCCGTGCACGGACGCACATATGTACGCACCAAACAAGAAAGTTTCGCAAGAGCTTGCAATTGACAAGGCGCACGACTTGGCCCGACGCCAAAGTATTTGCCAACGCGACCGCCGGCTTTCCCGCTTTCCCAGCATTGCTCTTGGTCGCTTCTTTGGTCCGCTCGCTCGCTCGCTCGCTCGCTCCTTGTGCCTGGTCGGTTTTTCTATTTTCTTGTAGACTTTTCTTTCTTTTTTTTTTACTAACCAGGAGAACATAATGGTGACATTCTTTCACGGAACAAAGGTTCGTGCTATATGCAGACCGGCGGTGTTTCTAGCGCGTATGCAAGCATCGGACTTCGCTATAGTAAAATATTCTTTCGTGAGCATTTTTTTCTATAGAACAATGAAACTAAATCGAGTTTTGAGTTTGATGTATCTCTTGTGCATCAGCGCTAGATACGCAGAAAAAAATAGGCGGTTTTTTCCGCTTTTTTTCAAGTGTTTGTGCTCACCCACCGAGACATGGCCCACCCCACTTTTTTAAAGAATTTCAGGCGGTTGGGGGGTGGGCGATGACTCGGGATATTACGGTAGGTCTACACCCAGACAGAGATGGGCTTTGCCTTGGAAGGCGACAGATACGGGAAAAACGGGAATGTAAATAGGTGTCCTGATGATATAAGCTGCATAGGTTTTTGCCAGAGCTTGGGAAGGGGAAAAAAAACAGTATGTGTAAACATGTGTGCTGTGATGTGTAAGCAAATTTTGTGTGTACTCATGTTTGCCATACATTTACAACCGTCATTTTGTCCTCTATTCTGTTCTCCATCCGAGAAGGGGAGATGTGGCTAAATAAAAGAATCAAAGTGTACAGGACACGGGCTTGGTGGGTAGCCCAACGGAACATGGCTTTGTCTCATCCTTTATAGATATTAGTGATGGGGCAAAACTTTTTCCAAAACAAAGGTTTCGGAAAGTTTGGGAAGAGTATCCGAACCTCGGTGCGTTTCAGGTAAGTTTGGATAGTTCCGACGCATTGCAATATTGCAGGGGTGGCCAGGCTGACCCGGCCTAAGAGCCGCAAACAGAATCACGAAACTTCCAAAAGCTGCGAAGGGGGGGGGGGGGGGGGGGGCAAACTTTTGTTCAGGGCTCTCGGACTACTTTCAATTTATCAGAGTCAAAAGCAGTCCAACTGTACGTAAGGTAGCAGTAGCACAAGACTAACAAACCGCAACCTGTCTTTCGATATCAAAACGCGCTCCATTTCTCTACTTGGGGAAGTGCTCGTGTGACCGGGAGGGAGGCGTGAAAGTGGAAGGGGGGGGGGGGGGAGTAGGGGAGGGAGCCGCGAGCCGCGCTTTAACACGCGAAGAGCCGCAGCTTGGCCACCCCTGCAATATTGTAAACCATATGAAATAATTACAATTTTTAATATAAATACTAAATGTAACTAACTGACAACACGACACAAAATATTGAGATTATGCGTCGTTGATCAAGATGGTTTTGATTTACAAACTTTACTAGTCACGTCACGACGTGACCAAAACAAAGCGGGCAGGTAGGTGAAATCGATGATCGCAAATCACAACGCTCGTTTTCATTGCATCAATCGCTCAACAATGTGTGTGGTGTTCATTCCAAGTGCCGGGAACATTGCGGTTTACGTTGACAACACAGTTGGCATGTGAAACTCAGTTGGTCGAACGACTTTTTTACAAACGAAGTTCCACCCCGGACTTCTCATCAACACACTTTAGAAAAATTCATTACTTACCCAAAGGCATTTATTGCTCATGCATCACAATTGGCCGCCTTCCACACAGAATGCTTCGCTGAAGACCACTGGCAGCGTGTATCCAGAATGGAAATGAAATCGCTGATTAGTAACCGTGATTCATGACCAAAACGTTTGGGAGGCCTACAGACCACACCCAGAGCTCTGACACTTGGACATCCATAAGCTACCATAGAGCTTTGCTTTTTAAGCTCCTGTCGTCAGTTCGGCAGTCACTTCGCACACGGATCAAGAATGTGCCCTATGGGTCAACGTGCCTGCAAACCTCGGCATGAGATTCTAGGACCTATGAAGACCCCCCACACACACACTGCGAGCAACCTGGTATGTATTGCTGCAACACAGAAAATGAATCAAAAACGGATTGGATTTCAGTCTGTATGGAGGTTCAGACTTCAAAAACACTGACAACGTCAACAAAATCACAAAACTGCCACACCTTCGAAACACCCGAAATTTCACCCAAAGAGCTTTGGAATCTTCTGAACCAGTTCAAAACCGAACCTCCGAAGTTTCACCCCATCACTCATAGATATTGCCACATTTGCCTATGCCAACACCTCACAATCACTTCTCAGGAGGCACCAAGCTCTTGAACACTGTGACAAGACATTGAAAGACAGGTCGCTGCTACTCTTGTCACCAACACTGACACCTCACAGGAGCACCTCACTTTCAGTGCTGCGACAAAGAGTTAAAATGCACGCCACTACTGCTATTTGTCAATGCTAACATTTCACAGGATTGTGCACCTTTCAACACCGTAAGAAAGCGTTCGAAGGCACACAACTACTGCCGTTGTCACCAGAGCTAGCACCTCACAGTCATTTCACAAGAGCACCACACTGCGAAAAAGGCCTTGTTGCAGTGTTCACGTCACACCACATCCACACAACTCCGCTGACCACGGATATGGCTTGCCAGAGGTCACAAAGGTTAACCACAGAACAGCTTCAAGGACATCTCTTCAGTAGGAATGCAACCTTGAAAACAGCAAGACCTCGTCATCGCTCACCAGGATCCTGTTCAGATTGAGCAAAGAGCACATAAATTATGACACTTCCAACATATCAATCATTCCGCATCACTCACAGCGCACAGGCCTCAGTCGCACACCAGAGTAGGGTCACGCAGAGGAATACCAGCAGCACTGGACTGGCATGTGAATTGTGATTCTGTCTTTGGATTTATAGATTTCCCCCCGTGAGGGGGGTGGGCCGATCCCGGAGGCAGTGCAATACCGGGCCAACCCGTGGCATAGGTGAGGTAAACCTCAAGCACTACGCCGCATTCCAAAAATAAGATTAATATCTTGGGTCCAAATAGGACCCGTATCAGATATTAAGCTGATAAGAACAGAGATTTTATTGCATGTTATTTACATATACAGGGAGTATGGGAAGCTGTACAAGTCGTAATGTTAGTGGGAATTTTATACATTGGCTAGCTAGGGAAATTATACACTGGTTATAAGAGAAAAAAATTGCTAATACAATGCTAAAAAGACGAAAATATACATATTCTAAAGGCGCTTCCCAGCAATGTGGCTAGCATATATGTCCCTGGAGCTTGCTATCGTCTCACTCACAATGAGTTTCTTCATTAGTCGTAGATATGACCTGCTGCATAGTCTCCTGAGGGTGGCATCATTGTCTGGGTCCCAGGACCCTAACGCACCCACGATCACGGCAGCAACAGTCACGCGCTGGTAGCGGCGGCACAGGTACTGCTTGATGGCCTCATACTTCTCAATTTTCTGTTGCCGCGCCTCCAGCAGCGCTGCACGTCTGTTGTCAAAGGGGCAGGTGACGTCAATGATGATGGCCTCCTCACCCCTCGCCAGCACCAGGTCTGGGCGCAGGCTTGACTCCCCGACCGGCTGGTTTTCGTGCGTCACCGTGAACTTGGGCGTTGCTGCTGCCTTGATGCGGTTCACGATGTTGTTGTGACGCCGCGTCAGGGCCTGGCTCTGGACCATGCAGTGGCAAACGACGTGTGGCAAGGTTTCTTGCTGGTAGCCACACGCCCTGCAACGTTGGTCGACGGCCGAGGCCCATGGACGCGCTCCGTTGAGTGGCAGCAGGTTGAGACGTGCCCGGTGGATGAACCGCCAGTCGGTGAAACGGGTGTATCGCCCTGACCGCATGAAGTGAGAGCTGGCGCGATCAGCGGCGACACACTCCATCGCCTTTCCCTGGCTGGGTTGTTGGTGCAGCGCTCTGTCGTTTGCTGCTGTCGAGATGCCTCGGAGTGTCCGGATCACCTTGTGGCGATGCTTGGGGGAGATGGTAGTTCCCCCACAGGCGATCCTGGCTCCTTCAGGCACCAGCTCCCAGGTCACGCCGGCGCGTCGGGAGGCTTTGCGGGCCTCTGTCCACACCGACTGGAGCTGCGTTGACGTTGCTCTGAAGTCGCCTTCGGTGTCTCCGGATAGGTAGGCCGCCACGTCTTCTGCTGCAACTGGTCTCCTGAGCCGCTTCTCAGTCACCCTGGTCACCGCCTGCAGTGCCAGGTCACGTACCTCGCTGTCTGGCGACGAGAGCAGCTTGAACGCACCATCAATGCGGCACGCGTCGCTTATGTCGGCTGCTTCCGGGATCCCTGCGACCCCTGCACCTGCACTCCCGTAGAGGTATTTGTTTGAGGAGTTTGCTGGCAGGTACAGCGTTCGTTTGATGAGGGGTCGCAGGGTGTCGTCCAGGCGGCGCCATTCTTCCTTTCCCACAGCCCCAACTCGCATGGCGAAGTTCAGGGCCGGGTAGAGGAATGTTTTTATGGCGTCCAGCCTCTGCCAGGGAGCCAGCATTGAGGACAGCAGGCATCTCCCCAGGGCGATCGCGTCGTCCACGCAGGCGGTGTCGGGCAGGACCCTGTAGCCCACGGGGCGGCCCAGGAAAGTGTGCGCCTCGAAGTCGGTCATGTGGGGGATTTCTGCTTCCCCGATGCAGAATGTTGTAGGCCTCGTGCCCACAGGCTGCCGCCCAGTCAGGTGAAGGGTCCGACACTTAGATGGGTTCAGCTGGAGCCCGAGCCCGGAGGACAGCGCGGTGACGACGTTGATCCTTGTTTGCAGCTCGGTAGGGCTGCCTCCCATGGGGGTGAGGTCGTCGGCGTAGGCCAGGATCTTGTGTTGCCGTTGGCCTCCCTGCACCGCCCGGATCACTGGGTCTAGTACGAGGTTGAAAAGGAGCCCGCTGAGTGGGCAGCCCTGCCGGATCCCTGCTTTGATGGCGACCGGCTCTGTTGTGCCTCCCTCGCTGATGATGACCGTCGTGTTGTCCTCGTACAGGTCCTGGATGATGCTGGCGAAGGCGTCCCCAGTGCCCGCACCTCGAACCGAGTCGACGAGTGCGTTGTGGGCCACTGACCCGAAGGCGTTGGCGTAGTCGAGGAACGCCACGCACAGGTCACCACCACCTGTTCGCGCCGCGTCAAGGCGCTCCTGCAGCACGAAGTTGTGTTCGAACACACCGTCGTGCGGCAGGAACCCCTTTTGGCATTGCGACAGGATCCCGTGATCGCACAACCACCCCTGCAGCCGGGATGCCAGGCATCCAGCATACAGTTTGGCAATCGTGTTACCAAGGGATATGGGGCGCCAGTTTGTGGGGTCCCTCTTCTCGCCTTTCTTGTGGATGAGCACCGTACGGGACGCCTTCCAGCATGCAGGAACTCGCCGGTGTCGTAGGCAACAGTTGAAGGCAGCCGCTAGGAAGCTCCCCTCCGGGTCCACGGTCCTCCAGTGGTGGTAGGTGAGCCGGTCGCCACCATCACTACACTTTGATCTTAGCCAAAAGGCCGAGAAGCGATACCCCCAATTGTCTTTTAATTTCAAGTCCTTCAAGGCTTGAACCCCAAGAGCACATACCACCCCGCAAAGAGGTCAACAAACGCGCATGGCTTCCCAGCGCCAAAGTGGACACCGGTAGGCTTTTCCGAGGTCACGTCGCATCAAGCACAACTCTCCTATAGTGTGCAATTTCGAAATGTCTCAATTAATGAGGAATTAATTAAAATAAGCCCTCTAGACAAGACGTCGACATCGTACGAGAGACCTCATCGCCATCTCTCGACTCGCCAACAAACTCAAAAGGTGCACCGCAAATCACAGGAAACCTTCATAAAACTGCGAGCAAAACAATTCGGAATAACATATGAAGCACTTTAAAAATCAAACGCAACATGTATTCGGACAGATTCAAAATCCGGATGTCTCAAAGTGCTTCCGGCGAAACGTCGTCTGCTATCAAAAATGGCAGACGATCATGTTCGTCCACAAACCACCACAAACCGAGAGCACGGCTGCCAAATACTAATACTCGAGAAAAGATCTAGTGAGATACATCAAGGGGAAAACGCACAAATATTAAGTGAACTGAGGATCCCGGAGTTGACGGAGAGCTTCTGCCCCCAAAAAGTAGTCACTCAACGTCCGGTTCATATCCTTTTATAACGAGAACCTTGAATAAAGTATTTCGAACTTCGTGAAATACACATCTGGCGAGACATGTGCATCCAATTTGAGAACGTCGAAGCGTCGGTATCGCAACTGAGAAACCTGCTTGATCGAGAAAAGCAGTCGTGAATGCTCGTAAAGACGCCGCCGACGCCGCCATGACGACGCGGACTCCTGTTCCCAGACGGTTGTGAGTGGTTTGCGCGAGATGGCGCCAGCATCGTTTCGGCGCTTTAGTTCGCAGCTCATTCACTAGATGGCCCTAGTCCCCCGTTCAGTCCAGATTCTTCGGACTAATTTTAAAAGGCGGGTAAATCGCTTTAAATTGCGGAAAAAGAATTGTCACGTGCAGAAAAACACACCTACGTTGCAGCCTAAACGTTAATGAAACTTGAAAGTGACACGCAGTCTAGCCGACGAAGGAAGCGACGGTTTCCGAACACGAGCGCGTGCACAAAGAAAGAACGCCATTTCGGCAGAATACCAAAACCACGCTGCAAAAACAGACAAGAAACCCGACATCTCGTCAAAGCGTGCGCGAGGCAACAAAAACGCTCGCATTCTGACGTTACCGGGTGCACGAAAGTACGGCTGACGGCCAGCCACGGCGACAAGAAGAAACGACTGCCATTAGGCCTACCTGTCATTATCACCCCCCATCAAACAGAGACGATAAGGTCATTAAAGAGCCCAGCCGCATCGTTGAACTTGAACCACTGACATCCGCAAACATGTACACACCGCCCGGCTCGCGACATTTGAACCACATCACACGCGTTAAAGCCATACCGAAATAGGGGTACTCACACAGGGCTAGACAACGCAGCAAACCTGACGAAGAAAGACAAATGAAGGAGCTGCCGATTAAAACTTAAAACTCCGCAAGGAGGCGTCCGGAAACGAAACAACAAAAAAGAAAGAAAAGCGCCTGCACGTGGGCAAGGGGGTCAAAGTGCAAGAGAAGCTAAAAGGGAGGGCAGTTCCTGTCTGGCCAACAGCATTTCTGCTTGTTTGTTTGTTTGTTTGTTTGTTTTTGTTAGTTTGTTGGGTCCAAGGTGCAAGCAAATCCACGCATAGAAAAAAAAAAAAAAACGGGGAGAGGGTATTGTTGTTAGAGTGCCTTCAAATGGGTCTTGGCTTATCTTTTCGTCCGACTGAGGGGCTTGGCTTATCTTTCCGTCCGGCCTTGGGAACGCGCTACGGGCGTTCGGGAAGTTCGGGACTGCGGGGCGGACTGCTTGCGCGTGCGTGTGTATGTACGCAGGCGTGTTTGTGTACGGGTGCGCGCTGGCCCGGTTCGCCCAGAGGTTTCGCGTTTTTACCAGGGGCAAGGCGGGCGAGGGTTTGTCCCGGCGTTTCGCTCGGGGACGGTCCCTCCGCGGTCGGCGGACTCTACGACGAATTCGATTGCGGGCGTGCTAGCAAAAAGAAGGGAATTCTCATAACACACGAACGACGCGAACACTTTGACCATTTTGTCGCCGAGATTAAAAAGCCCGTGCGTCTACTTTTCCGCGCAACACTCGGAGAGCCAGCGAATGACGATGCCGAAACATGTTTGAACCGACAAACGCAGTCTGAGTTCGTCAATCTTGCATTGCAACTCATACTGCGTTTTTTGGTCTAGACATATGTTTCGGCATCGTCATTCGCTGAGCTGCCTCCGTAAATGCGATGATTGTCTCTCCGGGAGTTGTACGGGAAAGTAGTCGCCCGGGATATTTCCAGAGTGAGCAGGACCCAACCAACTCTTCTGGTTCGCTGCTTAGGTTTTTGCTTCTGGTTATTCCGAAAGATAATTTTTACCATACAACGATTACTTTAAACCGATACTGGGGCAGAATGAGAAAAAAAACGTTAACAGTAGTAGAAAAATAAACAGGAACAGACAATGTCTCACTTCCGCAAAGAGGGGATTGGAAAGATATTTCATTTCATTTATTATCCCTTAAAGGCCCCGCCAGGGGCATTACATAAGGGGGGGGCAATACAAAGAAGCACACAAGTAGAACTTTTATACAAAAAACAAAACGTAGAAACAAGATGTGGCTGAGCACTGGCCATAGGTAGGAGCATCGCACTGATTACATATTAAATATAGACGATACAGCATATCTGAAGAGGTCGGGGTCACTGATGAGCACTACACGGTCCGGTAGATTGTTCCACTCTATTATGGCAAGGGGAAGAAATGAGTTGTTAAAGGTGACAGTGGAACCATGGATGCGACGTACACTAAGGGAGTTAAAAAGTCGTCGGGATGAACGATGCGGTTCTAACAGTAGAGACTGCCTGAGTAGAGGGTGTTAATAAAAAATCTTCTGGAAAAGACAGATGCGTGATATTCTTCGGCGAGAAATGAGAGTGGGGAGGCATAAGGAAGCCTTTATGGCCGACACACTGGCAGTGCGTTCATAATTAGAAAGAATGAATCGGGCAGCACGATTCTGAATTGATTCTAAGGTGTTAGTGAGGTAAATCTGGTGTGGGGACCAAATGGCAGCAGCATACTCAATCTTCGGACGCACAAAAGTTTCGTAGGCCAGCTGGCGCAAAGCTGGAGGGGCTGAGTGCAGACAACGTCGAATGTAACCAAGCGTTCTGGAAGCTTCGGCATGTATGGAGTCAATGTGGAGGGTCCAAGACATAGGGGAAGAAAAATGAACGCCAAGGTATTTGTACGATTGAACACACTCAATTGTTGATGAGCCTAGAGAATATTTGAAAAGAGATGGGGAATGTTTTCGAGAAAAACAGACAAACTTACATTTAGAGTGGTATATAGTAACATTAGCCATTGATCACACCATTTGGTTATATTATCGAGGTCTTTTTGAAGAAGAAGGTGATCGGAGGAGCAATTTATTTGGCGATAAATGACACAATCATCAGCAAATAAACGTATGTTAGAGGTGATAGAATTTGGAAGGTCGTTAATAAAGATCAAGGAAAGAAGTGGACCCTTGTGGGACCCCAGACAAAACATCGGTAAGGCTTGATTCTAAAGTGTTGACGACTGTATATTGGACTCTGGATGAGAGAAAGCTGCGAATCCAAGATACGATTAAGGGATCAATATTGAGTCGCGATAGTTTTGCGAGTAGGCGTAGGTGAGGAACCCGATCGAAAGCTTTCGAAAAGTCTATGAAGATGGCATCCGTTTGAGAGAGCGAGTCAAGGTTAGTGTGCAGGTCGTGAGAAAATTCAAAAAGTTGGGTGTCGCAGGAATAACCCTGGCGAAAACCATGCTGGTTATGGAGAAAAAAAAAGTTATTACAGGTTAGGTGATTCATAACGTTAGAGAGGATGATATGCTCTAAAAGCTTCGATGCAATGCATATGAGCGATATGGGACGATAGTTATCAGGAAGGGATCGATCTCCGCTTTTGAAGACAGGAATGACGCGGCCAATCTTCCAGTCCGTTGGAACGCAGCCGTCTGACAATGACTGGTTAAAAATGAGCTGAAGAAATAAACAGGAGATGTCTCTCGTATTCTTCAGTATTTTCGAGCAAATATGGCCCGTCGTCCTGTCTTCTTCGATTGTGATCACTTATTTCTTGTAACCGATGACTTCGGCCGTGGAGACAGCATGTTATTAGATGGAATGCAATTTGGGCGAACGCGAATAGGCCTCCAGCATTGCCCAGGAGCCGCTGCGAAAAGCGACTTGTTTACAGTTAATGGGTAGTATCCAGGGACGGACTTAGAGGGGGGGGGGGGGGGTCGGGATGTCCTGACCCCACCTTGATTTCTGCATGTGCAAAATTTATGGCAAAAAAACAAAGGAGAGGGGTAGGGGGTTCCTAAACATATGGTACGCTGACCAACACCTGACCACGCCCCTCAGGAAGTTCCTGCATCTGCCCCTGGCAGTTCGACGACGGAGCCATAAAGTGCCCGGTCGCAGAATTGGAGCGCGAGAATCTGGTAACACAGAGCATTTCTCGGGGAACATAGTGGAACCCCTTAAGGGTAAAGCCCCTTGATAAAGGTGTTTTCACAAGTACCGCCAACCATTGTTGTGGAAATGCGCAAGACACGTGCCACGAGCGGGTGCTCCGCCGCCATTCGCTTCCAAGGGCCGCTTATTTCAGTGCTGCGCCGCCATTTGCTTCCAAGGGCCGCTCGAGACCTGGGCCGCGTACGCGAGCCGGATCAAGTGCCGTGCAGGAAAATAGACGTTGCACGCGCCCCGCCGTACGTATCGAGCGCGCCACGCGCCTCGAACGCGCGGCGCCGCTATTCGCCGAATTTAGTCACGTGAAGAGCGGGATCAACATGCCGTGCAGGAAAAACGACGCCACGGAGATGAAAATTTTCGTCACTCTTGTCCAGCTCGCTTGCCCCTTTGCATTTAATTGCATTATAATTAGCCAGGGAGATGAACGCGCAACTCTGGCTCCGCGCACAGCTTTTGCAGCGGCGAGGACCCGAAACAAAGTTTTCAGTTTCGGCGAGAAAAGAAGCGGTAGCGCGAGGAACGCAAGGAGGACGAGCGGACATTACATCACTCGGGAGAAGTGTGTGACGGGCGCCGCAGCTGGGCGTCCGTCACGTTTCGTTCCCAGGATTTTTTTTCGGGAGGGGTTCAACGAAATTCTCTCCTGTGCCCCAGATCAAAGAAAGCCAGGACAAAGCACCGACCACCAGACATTAGCTCCCTGGAGGGATGGACCCACCCGCCTGGATCCCTGGAGAATCCTGAACGGCCTCCTAGATTTTATCTATGAGGCCAAGTCGGACATCTTCATCTAATCCCTTCTCTTTTAATTCGTGCCAGCGTCCAGACCGCGTAGTTACCGACGCCCTTCCTCTCCTTTTCCCCGAGGTTAATTTATGGCCAATAAACGCATTATGAACTGAACTTGGATTTAGCGGTTTTTTAGCGGTTTTCGGGATTCCGACTGCGGGTTTTTAATTTTTGAGTTGGCAACACTGGTCTCGGCTTTCAGCATGCTTTCAACTAGACCTGTGCGCCGGTGAGAAATCGCCGGCGGCGGCGCGCCGGTGTTAATACCTCCGGCAGCGGCGTGTTGACGGCGCGGGGATCAACGGACCGGCGGCGGCGTGGCGCGGAAGCGAAAGGGGAGGGGGGGGGGGGGGGGGGGTGTAAATTAGAGAGAGAAAGGATAAGGATGTCGTTTGAATTTAGAAAACAAGATGGAAATACCATAAAAAGGAACACACTTTTTTATTTTATTTTTTTCTGTGAAGAATGCGTCCGTTAGTAGGATCAGGTACTTGGCGTCTTGTTTATTCTCGTTTATTCTCGGCGCAAGATAGTCCGCAAGATGAGGACCGATGACAACAGGTATTTGATCACCGCGTTCCACCTCAACCACGCGCTTGTCGCACGCCCCGTGCCTAACAAGTCGACCGAGCACGTCCTTCGATTTATAGAACTCGTACTCTCATTCGATACGCCGCAAGCCGTCATCACCGACAACGACAGGGTCCTAACCTCTCGTTCCGCTTCGCGGTACTTCGCCGACAGGCACATTCAGAGCATCCCTAAGAGTACTTCACGCTCCCGAAGCTAACAGCTTTGTCGAACGCGCCAACGGAAAAATACTTCCATGTCTGCGCGAAAGAACGTCAACGGCGACATCGACCATTGGAGCGATTATCTCCAGGCAACCAGCT